TTGTACAACTCCAAACTTTTAAAAAAAAAATACTAAGCCCAACTGAAGTTTTGCAGCCCTAAGACTTGGCCTGATATAAAGAAAAAGAAAGACTTGAGAATTTCTTCTTTCTAAGATTCTCCCACCAATGGCTCAGGTCTCGTTCCTCCAAGAATAGAAAATTATCCTCACACAAGATTACAGACAATCATGGGTCTTCTTCTGAAGTGGCAACTTTTTTATGTGCTTACAGCATCTCCTGCAAAAGGGTTGTTGATGCTGAGTCTGCTAAACCAGGTACGGTCCCTCTTCCTGCCACCCATCCTAAGGCACATGGCATGGCCTGGGATCTCCTCACCTCCCTGCAGCAGTGCCCACATTTCATAGAGTCAGAGTACATCAGAATAAATGTTACACAAGTATTTTTTCCTCTGGATAGGTTTCTAGTCACAACTGCTCTAACCAAGCATGCAATTACAAGCAGTACCTCAGCCTACAGTAGAACAGCATTTAATGCGGCCCACAGGTCTCCGTTGTCCTATGTGTGCAGTCACCATTTCATCCCCAAAGTGACTGAGGTAGAGACATGACAAAGCTAAATTTCAGGGCTACCTGACTTCCCATTAGTACCAATGCCACAGCAGCTAATCACTCTGTGACCATGAAGTCTAAGTTAGGGTTAAGATAAACTTGGAGAAGTTATCTTCTAGTGCAATGGAATTACATAGCAAACACCAGTCCTCAAATATGCCATGACTCAAATCTCAGATGGCAAGCTGTCTAACATTTAACCCTACTGAATGACTTGGGAAATAGTATATACTGAAAGGAGGGGAAAATCCTGAAGCCACTTAATCAGTATGCTGAGCCAATCAGTATCATTAGCCAATCATCATCAGCGTGATGAGCCAATGATGATAGCAATGACGGTGGACTGGTAGGCTTCAGAATGTGTTTTCCATATTTGAATGAAAATAAAACCCTTTGAGCATCTTAGTAAAGCTAAGTTGTACCAAAACAATCTGTTTTCAGATTGAGAATGTCAGAGTTGGATCTCACGCTCTCCTTTTTCTTTATTTCATTCTTTTCTCTGGAAATGACAGGCAAATCCATGCTAGGCGTCAGGAACAGTCCCACTGACTACATCATTGAAATGCACAAAGACATGGCTTTGGCTTAACAGCATATATTAATGAAAAACAAATTTATCAAAACAAAATTCTACAGCTATACTATGAATCTAGACCAACAGCATCTTTCAAACCACGCATACACCAAAAGCTAGATAAACTATAAATAGCATTTCTACCTTTTTCATTTTGCAAACCTTGCAACAAGTTCTCACAGTTATCACTCCATTGGTGGTGTGCCAGCATCAAACTGGGATAACAGCAGGGAACTGGGCCTGTTGGTTTCTTTCTAGTAAAAGGCATGGAAGTCAAAAAAACAAAAAGCACCTTTTAAAGCAAGGTAATGTAACAAAATCCCTTTGTGAATGTACTAGAATCAGCATATGGCAATTTAGCCCAACCCAGAACACATTGTTATTCATTAGACAACGTCCAGAGTCTCTGGAGAGAATATCAAACATTATCTTGGAGGCTATACTACAATAGCAAATGCTGAATATTCTGAGAAAAAAATTCAAGGAGTGAATGTTAAATATGAAATAGGTGTGAATTTTTTTACAATTTTTTCATCTTTAGAAACGAGGAAAACTGAAGGCTAAAAATCACTTAGCTTAGCCAACTGATTATATCTATTTTAACCTGCTATGGTTGCTTGGGAGCTGTTTTGCTAATCCCTGCTTTGTCGTTAGGCTATATATTAGCAGGATGGAAATGGCATCACTGCACCATAATTCAGCAATGTGAATACAGAACAAGGAGAGTGCAGAGCACAGCAGCAGTACAACAGCAGATAATAAGACTCTGTTACTCAAGCAGAATGTGTTATGTAAAGACAATTGCAGTGTAGAAGCAATAGCTCTAATCAGGTTAATTAGGCTGTATTCATGTTTCATTTATGGTGCAAGTGCCCTGTAAATTCAAATAGTCTACCTCATCTTACTGCACTCCTTATACAGACATCATGCTCTCTGTAACACTCAACACCATATATTTTCTTCCTTTTAAAAAAAAAAAAATCCCAAGATATTTCCCACTGCTTTTTAAGAATTCCTTTTCTTCATTGTTTATGGCTAAAAAAAGAAGGAAAAAAACAGAAACAATACAGGTTGTATATAAAGCCCATGCCCACGTTAAAGTTCCTTCCTCTGTAACCAAATTAGGCACTTGGAAGTTGTTTGTGGAGGGCCTGTTTAATTGTGTTTTATTTATTTTTCATGTATTTTCTTCTTACTAACATGATATGATGAATGTTTAAGAAAAATCATATTGGCTTTAAAAAGTGTGGCTCTCACCTTTCCTCCTTTTATCCATTTCCTTAAAGTGATAGATTGCCTGTTTATTCCCTCAGAGCTAACTGGAAGGACATGTCTGCTTTCGAGAAAGGATTAGAGCCCAGTGCTGTGACCCTCGAACTCTAGCTGTGTCTCCTCTCCACTTACTGAATTTATCAAGTTGTCCCTTTAAAGTAATAATGGGTACAACAATTCTGTGATCACTTCCTCCTCACCCCCAAGAAAACAAGCCTGGGTAGAGAGGAGCTATTAAAAAGAGAGAGGACATGCTGCAGATGAAGAGAACACAACAGCCTGCACAATCTGAATTATTTTAGCTAACTGTCTAGCTATCAGGTGTCTGTCTACATGCTGATTGTGAGTTTAGACTCAACATTCCCCATTAAAAAAAAAGAAATGCAGTATTTTCACTACCCAGTTAGAATAAATCTATTTATGTTACACCTTAATTATAAAGCTTTTTATTAAACCTGAAAAATGTTATAGCTCCATTTTAATGTGTATGTGTCCCTTAGGCAATATGCTGTTAATAACAATGCTTTAATTGATAGTCGTGCTTACATAGTTCTGCATATAATATATACATATTTTCTTATACCTTCTGTCCTGCAGAAGTGTGGCTAGTTGGGCATGCTAGCACAATAATACTGCAGAGGTCAAGCTGTGGCACTGATGAGCAGTGCCTTAAAAGCAGGGTGACTGAAGCAGGAGAGTTTTACATGTTACAACTTACAGTATTACACCGCCGCTGTGCATTTACTTCCATTCTGGCTGAAAAAAAAAAAAAAAAGTGGCTGTTTGTAAGGCATTTCTAACTACATTTGGCAGTGCATACGTGCCAGACAAGGTACGCTGCTGAATTTCACAGGGTCCACAAACATGGTGCATCTTGTCATATCTCACACAAGTTAGCACCCTAGAAGAAAACATCAGGGAAAATCCATGTGCACTTAATTTTTCACCTTCTGAACCCACACTGAACCAACAACCCAATTATTAATCTCTTGTAACGGTTCATATGTCTATCATATATTTTTTAATATTTTATGAGACACACATTTCATTTCAAGGAAGGTCTGACTACTCATCCAATTCCCTATCTTTCCCTTTGTGAAAGCAAGCTGCAATATTAAAATTCTCAAGATTTCTGGAGGTATCAGTAGCGAAGGTGCCCAAACGAGACAGCCCTCGTTTGACGTCTGGCTTTCCCCTGTTTGTCGGGCCAGCACGGCTGTGGGGAGCAGCGGCGGAGCGGAGGGGCCACGCGGCTGCATCCCTGACTCCAGCTCAGGTGCACTGGCACAATAATAAACCTCATTATTCCTCCGTCGGGTGGCATCACTCCAGGTAGATGAAGTAATCGTGTAAAGGGACCGTTTGACGGAGCCTGTGGTAAATATATTCTCAGGCCCAGTGGTGGAGGCCTCAGAACCCGTGCTCAGGTTTCATCCTTCTCCTCCCTGATGAGTAGCAACAGCCGAGAAAACCTTGTTCTCCTCCTGGAGGACAGCGTCTAGCTGCCTGACTATGTGCATTACTTGCAAGTATGTTGTACCTTTCACAGCCTCAAGGAAATACCAGATATACATTCCTGAGCTCTCCTTCCTGCCCCCTCGGTAACCCTTGAACCCAGGTGGTTTTTTTACGTGATATTTAATTTACCATTTGACCAGAAGACAAGCTTAAATTCAAAGTAAATGTTAAACACTTGCAAAAAATATGTATAACTGAGGTTAGGGAGCAAAGTCCCTCCTGACTTCGTTTTCCTAAGGATTGGTCGAAATGTTAGTACTACAAGTGGGAAATTCTGGATATATTTTCCCAAGAGTGGCAGCAGCCAAAGCTCCATGAGAACCCACTGACGCTCCCAACTCACTGAGGTCCTTCTTGAAATGTAAGTTGGTTTTTATTAGGTTCCTCTCATAAACAAATAAATTAATTTCCCTCCTGTTTTCATAGTATAAACTTTGACCATTAGCCAGAAGCTAATGTGAAGGTCATGCTGACAAGATTTGTCTTCCCAGGTGTGAGTAACAAGATATGCTAGCAAAGACGGCCAGGGTAGATACCATGGAAAGACATTTTCTCATTGCATGTCTACGACCTCTAAGGTATCTCAATCCTAAATCCATGAAATCAGTCTACAAATTCTCCTCTAAAAGTAGAGTTTCAACGTAACAGAGCAAGGTGTGTCTCCAAAGCTGTGACCCTTAGCAAGAGCAAATTATCAGGAGATTGAAGACATGATTGGAGAAAAGCTAAATAATTTCAGTTATGATTGAAGAACTATTTTTATTTAATTTTAAATTTTAGTTATTGTTTTACTGTATAACTACAATGGGGAGAAACAGGGAAAAAATAACAAGCAAGATATTTTGAAAATGAAATCTGTATTTCACATAGAAAGTGAGTTAGTTGAAATCATGAGGTGATTTGAAATTGTCAGCACTCATGACCTCAGAAATGTTTATTTTTTGATTGATCAATACACATTCTAAAATACACTTATTTGTCAAACTAACATGCCAAAAGAAACATGTGATAGCACATGCCTTTATAAAAGAGAACCCAGCCTGTTTACCTTTACTTTATCCCCATCATGAGGGGCTTGATGTTAGCCCTGGTTTTAAACCTGGTGGGTAAGTAACTTATCTGCTATGATGAATTTAAAATAATAGATTCAGGAAAAGGTTTCAAAATCTAAATATAGTTCACTTACAAACATGAACTTTAACATTTTATAGAAACAATTATTTTATGACAATTTTTTTGTTGTTTAGGAAAAAAAGGCTTTTGGCTATGTGCTGAACTAGAAATAAAGTTAATTAGAAAGAGTTATGCCATATGTACAAGATGAGATATAGCCTTTCATACTAAAATACATTAACATTTTGGGGGTTTTTTTTGCTTTGTCATTTCATTACTCTTTTTTTTCCCCTCTCTTTCAGGGAGCCAGCCTCTTAATTACCGTAAGTAATTTTCCTATCAGCTAATATAATTATAATGAGTGAAATTCAAAATAGAATCTGAAAAGTATATCAATGTTTAATATAATTGTACAACAGCTAATTTTGTTCAGGTGCAATACAAAAATGAACAAATTCATCTTTTTTGTTCCATGCATTCTAATACAGGTACTTTAATATGTTCTGTACAGTCTCTATAATGTTTTATGGGAACCATTTCTTTGCAGAACCTGATTTCAGTGAAAACAAGGTTTATACATTTAATTATGAAAGCATGCTTCTCAGTGGACTTCCAGAGAAAGGACTTGCAAGAGCTGGAATAAGAATAAAAAGTAAAGTGGAAATTAGTGGTATTGGGCCAAAACTTTGTCTTATTAGGGTAAGAAAATTTACACAATTTCAAAGGTAAAATTCTCTTCATACTTGACTTCCTTTTTAAGCTTTTGGGAAGTAATTAAGTTTCATCATGTATTGTGCTTACTCAGGGAGAATGTAACTAACACTATCATTTTTTATGCAGTGCCCTAAATTCTATTTGCACTTTGCCAGGTAATTCTCAGCTCAAGCCAACCTTGGACTTGAAGGATTTCTTCTGCTTTGTGATCAGGGAGACAATGGAATGTAATTTGAAATGCACAATAATTTATTACTGGATCAATCCAATTGTTCCAAACTGTACAACCTAGGATTATTTAATCAACTGATTTCGTAACCAGCATACGAAAAGCAATAAAACATGCTACTGTAGCTGGATGTGATTCAATATTTAGCATAATTAATGTCATCTGGTGGCTCCTTTTTCTGCAGGGTCCCAAATGACATTCTTTGTCATCCTCAATTGTATATTTTTACTGCATGCTGAGTAATTACTAAGAGTTTTGATTATGTGAAAAACACTTTTGCCTTTAACAGAAGCCTATACGTGCTTCTAATGAGTGTATTGAAACGCACCCCTCGATTGCTTGACACAAACTCCACTTAGTCTTCTGTATATGTGGAAGAAAAATGACCTTTTTAAAAGCTTTTATTTGGCAAATTGAAAACTGCAGATTAAAAAGACTGGTGACTTTCTGATAAATGCTTGTAAAGGCTGTAGCCTTCCAGCCTGGATTAGCCTTCTGTTACTAGGTATTTTTGTAAATTCAAATTATAATAGATCTAGACAGGAAACACTGCTTTTCCATGACCTTTGAAAATGGCTGGATTTTTTTGCAAAAAAAACCCAAGGAAATAAGAGCTGCACGTCTGCACTGGTGAGTAGATGGCTTCCCTGGCAGAAAGGAGGCAGAAGCAGTCTTGTCCTCACCCCACATCCTCCCCCATTCCTGCTGAAATCATTCTTGGTGTTTCAGGATGAGTCTTCCCCAAAAACTGACTCCTGTTCCCTAAAACCTTCCAACACCATTTCACCTGCCCTAGTGCATTTGGGGAAAAGTTTCCGTTTCAAAAATAAATACAGAAATAATTTCAGGCAAGAAAAGAAAAGGAAAAAAACCATGAGATTTTGGGGCAAGTTCTAAGCTAAAGGTAACGATACATTTATTCCCTTCTGCTCTGGGAAAAGTTTATTTTCCTGCTGTTATATTTAAATTAGAGAGTTTGGAGGGATGGTTCAGGGAATTAATCTTTCATCTGTAGCCTACTAGTTCGCATTCAGCCCCAGTAAAAAGCTGTGCTCCCTGAGCAGTTTCCAGCTGACAATTTTTTCATCACAAGCCCACAAGTAAGAATTGCCAGCTGTGTTCAAAACCTAGCAGACAGCATAAGTCCTGACTGGGCCCCGAGGGCTGGGGAAAACTACCTCGCCCTGACCCTGCAGAGCAGTCCCAAGCCTGCCTGTATGCAATATGCCAGAAGCATGTCCAAGAGGCAGCATGAGGGATTTGCTCCGTAACAGCCTTCTCCGTAAGCTTCAGTTACTGGGGTTGGCAGTGATCTCCACCAACAATAACAACAATAAATATGAAAGTGCAGTCTCCAGCGATTTGCTGTATAAGGATTTAGTTTGTGTGGCTTTTTGAGGAATTAATCCGCGTCTTGCATCACATTGCCAGCCTGAGGTGTCAGAGAAAAGTCTCTTTAAATTGTCAAAATACATGGAAGGGAAGGGTCCTCTGAGAAACTAAGCTAAACATGCCCCATTCCCCCAGGGTAGAAATCTTTCGAGTTATGCATAGTTTAGCACAACTTTCTACTTGCCTGGATGTGCCCCAGGTTGAGGCTGGAGTGTGAAGTGCATAGCGGGGCTCGGGCCAGTGCCTGAGCCTTCAGTTCCACAGCAAAACGGGTAGGGAAGGACAATCTTTATAACCTGCTCTCCACTGCTCAAAGGAATTATGACCGGCTGGCCCAGCAGCCATGTTATTATTAGTTTCTGACTGCTGTCTGTGCTTTGTGACCCCAGCGAGGGAGGCGACAGAGTTCACAATAGGAGTTAATGATGCTTTATGCAACATTAACTTTCCCCTGCAATTTCCTGCAGATCTTCCATACTACTTTTGGGTAGCAACCTGCTTCATGCAGCTCTTCTCTGGCTCATTTCTTCATACAAGTCAACCTTTGGCAATATAGATTATCTGTGAAACAGAACAGAGTCCAGTGACTGTGGAAGTATCATCACAGTCATTTGCATTACTCTCTTTTTATATATGGAAATCTGTATATCAATACTAGCTATGTTAAATGACAGCTTTTAAGTTTTCCCTTTGAAGAGGCTTTGTGTTATTTAAAAGTGTATTTTTGACATGAGTAAAGCTCTAGCTGCTTTTGTGCATTGAAAAAAGTTAACTGAAAAAAATTGAAAAAGGAATTCTATTCCCCCTTTGTTCTAGATTCACTCAATCGAAGCAGCAGAGTACAATGGTGTCTGGCCTACAAGCTCGTTCTCTCGATCACTCAAACTGACCCAGGTACTAACTGGGCAACTTAGTAATCCCATCAAGTTTGAGTATAGCAATGGCCATGTTGGAAACCTTATGGCTCCTGACTCTGTCTCGGACGATGGTCTGAACATCTACAGAGGGATTCTGAATGTGCTGGAGCTAAGTATAAAGAAGATGCAGCATTCATACAGCTTACAGGAGGTGAGCTTTTTGTTTTGGCCATGGTGGTCGCTTTGTAAATAAATAAACCTTCTCGTCAGATTCTTCTACCACGTTTTCTGAATTCGTCCTTGACATAAACTTCACTAACAAGAAACAGTGAAGCTTTGGAAATCATGACTAAGTTGTTCCTATGGGACAACATTTGATGGAGCTGTAGCTAAACAGGACAACAGAATAACAGAGTTTTAGTCTGCCTGATCAAAGTATTTCAGAAAAGGCATTTGAATATTAGATCCTCAGAAAATGTGGCTTGTGATTCTAGAGAAAGTAAACTCCTGTGAAAGCTGAAGCCTACATAAAATTTGAATACTGTATTAAAACAAACTTAAACATACAGCACAAGATTAAAGATAAAATAACAGTAATTTGACTTTTTTACCAATCATATATACTTTAATCTCCTCTAGCTCCTCTTTTCAGAGGAAAACAGTATATAAGCCATGACATTACTGTAATAGCTTTGACAGTTGCAGTTGATGCTCTGTTGGAATTTCCACTGTTTTTCAGGTTTTAATATTTTAGTCAAGGTAAATCATCTGATATTACTATTCACCGCAGAAATTGCAATGTGTTTAGTTTTTGCGAAACCATATTTACATTGATTAGACTACATTCAATTCAGAGATCAGCAAAACCCTTGAAATTATTATACTTTCATGTTATTTTTATTGAAAATGCAGACTGGAGTAACTTTAATTTTTTAAAAATTTATTTTTATGTAAGTGGAGTTGTTTCTGGGAAAGGAACTACATGATTTAATATTTTCATGCTGCTTGTTGCACATAAAAACCCAGGTGGTGGTGTCGCATATTCTGCAGCACTATTTTCTCATATCTAGTTTTACATCTTCATTCTTTCTAATTCAGTTAGCAATATGTCCTACTCTCGCTGCTGAGCAATATATGTGACTTCACCTTCTAGAATCTTTCCAAGTTTTCTTTGCTTTTCTCAGACAGCAACTGATTAGTGAGCGTTGGCACCCTTGCTTGACAATCTCAGGTCACTCTGTAAGGGAAGATAAGTGTTATTAGTCCCAAAATCTGAGCTGCAGAGAGGTTTAAAGGACTAACCTGGAAAAATCTACATCACATCCTGCAGGGTGTGGGGTAAGGGTATCTGAGCTAGTCGTGAACTGCACAGAGCTGGAAAGTCCAGCTAGGCAGGAGGCTACTTCATCCCACTGAGCCTGGTGGACTGGACATTCCCATTTAAAGTCTAGATGTCTCTACCACACCCTGCAGTCTGCAGAGGAGCCCCACACTTGTATTTGCAGAGTATAAGTCTTTCAGAAAGCTTGGGCAATTCTTATTTCTAGCCCTTACCGAACCACTGTGTCTTCAGGAATACTGTTAAGCTAAAGATGAAGTGGGTATGTCTTGCCTCCTAACCACCACGTGACCATTTTGCTGTTCTGACATAGCCCAGAGCTGCTCTCTGGAGTGGCTCTGCTATCAATAACAATAAAAAAATAATGAAAATAACCCTTCCTCCTAAAATGCAATCAAATATTTTCCTCTCCAAAAATCTCCTCACTGACTGAGGAGATAGATATAAGAGCTCTTATAAATATATATGCTTGAAATATTACTGAAGATCTGAGCTAAAACTGCAAACTCAAGAAAACCCACAATCAAAACTCTGCTATCCTGAAATTCTTTTTAATTCTTGCCGTTCGTATCGTGACAGATCATCTGATATTGCAAGGCCTGTTCCATAGGCATTTATAAGCTGTCTATAAAAGCAAATTTTAAGGGCAGAATGTCATCTCCAACCTTAAAATACTTTGCTGTTGAGATTTTATTCCGACTGATGAAATTATTTTGGCACTTTTTATTAATATTCCTCAAACAGTATTTCATAATCGACAGCTCTGACTGGAAATTGTAACTCACCCTTTCTAAGGCTCCAAATCTTCTCTCAGTGAAACTCTTGAGAATTTTAGTTCTCTCAGTGAAACTCTGATTTGGCTTACTGGAAACCTGTACATGTAAAAAAGAGATGAAAGTAATGATCATCCCAATTTTGCTTCTGGATAGTACCATGAATAAAAAGGTATTCATTTCTATCAGGAATGTTGAAAATACAGAATTAAACAGGAAAGTCCACGTGGGGAATTGATGAAGCTTTGCGTAAGAGTGAACTTCTCTGATCACATTCTCATTTTTGCCAGGCTGGGATTGGAGGTATTTGTAACACAACATATGCAATTCAGGAAAACAAGAGAGCAAACCTAGTCTATGTGACCAAATCCAAGGACCTGAACAGTTGTGAAGAGAAAGTTCAAATGGTCACAGGTTCAGCATACACTTATCCGTGCCAGACCTGCCAGCAGGTAAATTAGAGCGGTATTGCATATACGTATTTTATATTCTTATGCAGAGAGCCATTTGGCATCAGTGTTATCTCTTGCTTTGTAACACTTAAAATGAGAGAAGAGTCAGACCTGCTGTATCTAGTTATCAACATTTTCTTTCTGTATGAAAATCGGATCCGCAGAGCAGCAGAGGTCTATGCTGCAGACTGTCACGTGCTGCAGAGGCACTTCAACTAGCTCAAACTAGCTGGCTTGGAAACCATTAATTATCAGCATGAGTTAATTCACCTACTCTGTCGAGTAAAAAAGATAGTCACGATATCCAGTTTCTGCTATTCAAGATAGCTACTGCTGCATCTTGTTATAATCCTGTCTTTGAAATAAGAAATCGTGTGGCTTATACTGCTGCTCTCCTCACAAAATGTGTCTCCTTCTCAAGGGAATAACCAATTACTTATATTTGGGAAAGGAAAAAACAGCTAACACTTCTTAGCAGTAAAAGTAACGGAGCCAGGCAGCATGCCTGACCTCTCCCATGGAAGTGTGCATGCAGAATTCACATAAACCGCTCAGATGGCCAATGAGCAAAACAGCCCTGGAAAATAAGTGGGTTGAAGTGGGTGATGTAATAGCTTCTAGTCACAGAATTTAGAAGTTTAATGACTTTCTAGTTTCTTTGTTTCTTTGCTTTTTTATATTATAAAGAGAAACAAGAATTCCCGGGCAACTGCTACTTACAATTACAAAATTAAATATACACGTAATGAAGCTGTAATTACACAAGCTGATGTTGAGGAAATCCACCAGTTTGCACCCTTCAACGAGATAACAGGAGGAAATGCTATAGTAGAAGCAAGGTACTGTACATATGCCTTTAATTCAGCAACTAACTCAGCATCTCAGTAATCTGGTCAAACTCCATAACTGAAATAAATCCTTTACTTCCACTGCCTATTGTTTGCCAGTATGTAATTACATAAAATCCCAAACAGTTCATAAAAACAACCTTCACTGTTAGTTGTAAATCTGAAACATGCACATCACTATCCAAATTTTGTTAGCTAAACTTGGCAGGGTTTGACTATTTTATTTCTCAGGGATATTTGATTTATGTCATAAAAGCCAAAACAAATGTAATTCCATCTGAAAAATTGTGAACTAATATATTTGCAGTAAAATACTTTGAAAGACAGTTACTCACTGAAGGAGAGTTCCCTGGAAAATAATAACGCAGTAAGAGACCCTGGAGACTAGTTCACAAGAAACCTAGATAGGACTTTCAATTCCGATATAGTTCCTAAGTACAGTGGGCTGCTTGCAAATCTCCCATCAAAACTGTTTCTTGATAGGAAATTGGGTTTTATTGCAAAAAGATTGGGCACAAGGCATGTAAAATGTATTTGCTTTTCCACAGCAAATTTTGCATATTTCTTAAACAAGTTTGGGGCAAAATGAGAATATGGTTGTCTAAGAAATTATACCCCTGCTCATTTTTAGCTCAAGCCCCCAAACTTTCAGTGTTTGAAAATTTTTTCATCTGCATCAAAATCATCTATTGAAAAAATTTTTAGTTACCTGCTTTAGTGATGGAGTCTGTAGACAGGAGTGCCCTGCTGAAGGGGAGGCTTTTTGTGTAAAGGTCACTGTACAGAAGATATACCTTGATCCCACTTTTCAGCTGCTGTAATCTTGCATTGCTCCATTAGGTTCTGCAAGAATCTATTGGTATAATATACAGTTTTGGAAACTGCAACATCAGAAAGTTCGTGTCAATAAATCACTGATTAACTTCATTAATATGATGAAGATGTTCATTTTAGCTAACCAAAAAAAAAGAACAGTAAAGGTGAAAGTGGCTTTACTATCTCATGCAATCAAGGTGAAGATAGATACAACTATAATGCTTTCATCAAATTATAGGTTGTTGTGAGTGAGCATTAGTCTGGAGCCAATGGAGTCTTGCTGATTTAAACTCTCCTTCTGCAAGCCTGCATAGACTGTCTTCCTTACTGTTCTTCCTCAGGTATTGAACCCCCAGAAAGGGTAGTGCCTTTACTTTTCCCATTTTCTCTGGATCCTTTGCATTGCCCAGCAGAAGGGGCCAAATATAAGACAGCTGGGAAGATGCAGATATGTCACCCAAGTATTCAGAAGTTATTTCTACAATGCACTTTATGTGTTTAAAAAAAAAAAAAAAAAAAAAGGAAAGAAAATCTAACATCAAGGACTTAAAATATTTGGAGCTGAATTTTCAGACCTGTTCAGCATAAGCCTCTTCCAGCACCTTTCAAAGCCAAGAGAGGTTTTACTATTGTTTCACCATTTTAATCCTATCTTTAGTATTAATTTGCTCTTCTCGTCAGTGTATAACATTTTCCTATGTATTCTAGGCAGATATATCTCTTCCCAAAACGATGAAGATGAAGACATAATAGATTCATCATGTTCTGGAAGGGGGAGTTAAATCTGTCCAAGTGTACCTGACATTATACTTTCTGACCTAAATGCCCATTCAGTAACTTGTATAAAATTTCAAGAGAGAAAAAATCTCTGCTGATTCTGTAGCGATTTCTATTCAAATTCCAGTGGCTTGTCTGCAAAGCAGTTATACACTATTTTCTGCAGCAGTTCTCTGCAATCCATATGGAAGGAGTGGATAGAAATGATACAGAAGATCATCATAGAGATTCCAAAATAAACACGCCAATTTTCTACAGAGATTTTGAGATACTGTGTAGTACAGCAATATTGCTTTTGGAATGTTTTTAGTTGTTCAGTACAAATACCTAACTTTATTATAGTCTCCTAAATGACCGATTTTAAATATAATTGGTGGGATAGGATACATCCCTTTAGCTGAAAATGTAGCAAAGATAGCAAATGCTTACAAAGACAGTCTCTCATTGGAATTATTCTTAATAAGAAAGGATGAAGGTTTGGTGCTCCTTGAAAAATTTCTAAAAACTTGAGTACTTTTCCAAAGACTAATCCTGAATTTATCTATCTGGCCCTTTTTGGGGGGAAATCCAATTTGAAACTTCATGAGAACCTTTTATCTTCTGCAGTCCCCAGGACATTCAGCTTGCCAGGCAAAATGGTGAAGGAATTGTAATAGTGCAGGTAAAAAGACTGCAGGATTTCATATTGTCTCTAACAATTTTTGATTCTTTTTGAAGCTTCCAGGAGGCACAGACACGTAAGAGCTTTTATGAACTTCTTAAAAGCTTTAAATTAAGTGATAATTTCTGAAAAAATTTCCCATCAGTTATTTGTCTATAATCCTTAACTTACTCCTTAAGACAAAACACACATTTCCTGCAATCTTCTTCAGGCCACAGCTTCTCACGTCCCAGTTCTTCCTTAAATTCTCAAGCCATGTTATTCCCAAAGGAAGGCAAAGGCTGGCTCTGATCTGAGCCGTGCTGTGTAAGTGCACACCTTCTCAGAGCACAGTTCTGAACATCATGTCCAAATGTATCTGTTTGTCAATGTCTTTGCCCCTCAATAACAAAACCCTTTTGAAACAATTGTAGTTGCACTGCAATGCAGGGAGGCAGAATTACTGTTTTGTTTTTAGTTTGTACCCTGCATCTTGTGATGTTATCTCCCTGGGTTTCTCCATTTCAGGCAGAAACTTGCTTTGACTGACGTGGAGAAGCACATGGCAGAGGTCCCACCAAAAGAATTCCAGAATCGTGGGTCACTTCAGTACCAGTTTGGCAGTGAATTGCTTCAGCTTCCTGTCCACTTATTCAGAATAAAAAATGTGGAAAGCCAGGTAAAGTTCAGCCACTGGACAGACTCTTTGTTGGATGTTGGAATCTGTGCATGTGGGAAACAATGCACGTGAGCTTCCTGCATTTTAATCTTCCTGCAGATAGAGGAAAGCCTGCAAGACCTAGTAGAGACCACATCTGAACAGCTTCCCAGCGATGCACCAGCAAAAACCCTCAAGCTTATGCACCTCTTCCGTGCAGCGAATGAGGAGAATTACGAGTCAGTGTGGAAGCAGTTCTCCAGTCGGCCAGCATACAGGTACGAGCAATATAAGTGGTGATTCTTCTGCTGATAAACTCTATTGGAGACCATCTGGAATGACTATGTTCAAATGCAGATCTGGAAAGTGGTCCTTGTCTTTCCCATGACAGGCGCTACATTTTGGATATAATTCCTGCAGTTGCCAGTCACCGTGCACTCAGGTTCTTGAGGCATAAAATGGAAAAGCAAGAACTCACCAACTGGGAAGCATCTCAAACAGTGTTTGTGGCTCTGCACTCAAGCACACCAACTCGGGACGTGATGGAGGAAGCAACAGTAGGATTCCCTAAACATTCTCAAATCACTTCTTACTGATTTTAGCATCTGTTGTATTTAATTCCTTTGACAAGATGGCAAAGGCCTTGAAAATATAAAGGTTTTATATACTCTAGTGATGTTGAAAGGGGTTTAATTCCTGACTGTCTTAATGGGAGGAGAATCCAAATCAAAAGGGCAAAAATGAATCCAGAATGAAACAGGAAAGCAAAAGTAGAATACCCCTCAGGGACAGAGGTTATTCCTGCAAACACTGGTTTCTAGTCTCCCTTTGTCCAAATGTACTTTATAGTTACATCAGATTAGATGTCTGAGTATCTACAAAGACTAGGGAGTAAGAAATGCATATTTGCTATATCCATGTAGTTGTCCTGATTGACCTAGCAGGATGGGTATAAATCAGAGATCTATCAAAATCAAGGGCAATATGCCAATGTGGAGCCCATGTAGGAGAAAGTGTAATAATTTTTACAATTTTTTCCTCTTCTGCAGGGTCTAATTCTAGCCTCAAATGCAGGAAGTTATCTCTGCCTACCCTAGGTAGAGTCTACGCATCTCAGACTAGAGTTTTGCCCTCTGTAACAGCCGTGACAGCCCAGCCGTTACTGTGCGGTAATGCTCTGCTTCCCACTCAAGGGAGCAGTGGGCTGGTGCCTCCTGTCAGCTCCTACATTTATACAAAATATTCCTGTCTGCCCAAAGTACTGAGGTCCATTCACAGTGTATCTCACATTTTTTGTACCTATAGCTGAGGCAATTATAAAACAATGATGAATGTTTCTTGAATAATGTGTGTTTTTCCATTCCATAACTGTGTGATTTCCTCCCTTTAGATTATATCCTATGCCAAATTTAAATCTGAAACACTATAAAAGCAACAGATCTGCCTTCCAGATGTTACTTGGAATTACTTTACGATTGCATTGTCAAGTACAGTAATATCTACTGTAAACTATAAACTATAACTATAAATCCATCGGTACAAAAATATCAAAAGCCTGGGTTTGCCTTGCATTTGGCAGAAACATATTTTTTAATATTGTTGCTCTTCATTAATGGTGGTAATGAACAACTGCTTTCTCCCCAGCTCATCATGAAAAAACATTGTCCACGCTCAAGTACCGTACTTGGAAAGGCTTGCCATCTCAGCTATGCGTCACTGTGCCACAAACAGTGCTCTTCATCAGACTCCTGCTCTGAATGTCTCCAGGTAACCACATTGTTATTTATCGTTTAAAAGAAAAATTAAGCCTTGAGTTCTTTCTTCATTATTCAGAAACCTGTATTTCACTTCACTACAGTGTTTCCTTTGGGGAAAGGAACCCCAGTTGGTTAAATACAGCATTTTTATCTTCAGATTAACACACAAAAGAGAGTGAGAGGAAGAAGCACATAATTCATAGCACTTTCTATCTGAGTGTCTCTGAGTGCTTTATTGCCAATTATTAATGAAGTCCCATGGCACTGCTCTGAAATACTTTAAATATAGGTACTTATATATACTTATAAATAAACTAAGTGACACAAAAGCCCGGGGTTTTGCCCAAAGTCATATAGTCCAGCCATTTCTCAGCCAGAAGCAGAGCCCACTCACCCACATAGACTCTAAGCTTTTAATAATAGTAATACCCTCCCTGTTCTGCACTGCTTTTAATCAGCAGGCCTGAAAACAATTTAAATAGGCAGTAAATAGCATTTCCTAGTTCTAGAGATGCATGCCATGGTTTACAGAGGTCAGCCACTCAGCCAGTGATAGAGAGGGAAAGAGAAATCAGTGTTTTCAGTCTTCGACACTGGTCAGTCCATCATCCCCAGTAAGAGCAGGGTGTTCCCAGCACATTGTGTGCCTACCATGATTTTTGTCGTGTAGTACACAGGCATGGGTGACATTCCTACATGTGTCTCCTGTGTTACGATTGCCACCAATGCTCTTGAGCTAATTAAATCCGAGAAGCCCAATGCCAGGGAATGGAAATTCTTTCCCAAAGCAAATGATTGTATAGGCTTGTTCAATGCATTTCAAATGTCCACTCATTCGATTAGTAATATCAAATGGACTGTTTCTGCACCATCAATGGATCTCAAATGCTATATTTTAAAGCACAGGAACTGTATTGAAATTATTCTAAAACAACTCAGTTTCTTTTTCAGAGCCATTTGTTAGCACTGAAAACAGTTATCTATTAGGATTTAGTTCTTTTCTCATATTCAGCCTTCAGACAACTACTTCTAATCTTGCCACGTGAATGTAAGTGTGATCCAGTTGCTTATGGTGGAGGCTACAAAATGATCCAATGATCTCATTGCCAGCTATTAATCCACACTAAAAAGTGGCTGTCATAGCTGAAGTTAAGGGCACCACCACTAGCCATATCTTCAGGAATCTTATTTAAGGGTCTGAAGGATTTAACTGTATCTGCATTTTTGCACCTGTCTTCAACCATGAGAAAGAGATACTCGGACAGCATTATTGCAGGGTTTCCAACTCTCCCTTGAAGGCAGTGGGAACTAGATCCTAGCCACTATTTTTACCTTTAAAAATCTTACTTGATAACTTTAAAGCATAGTGATGAAGAAGCTGTTCATTGCAGTTTCTTTGGCTATGCTTGTTCTATGAATAAAATGTCCTATTCATGAGGACAAAAAGAATTTGAAAATATTTAAAATAAGTGAATTGAATAAACTGAAATTATCAAAGTCAAACCTCAGAATAGGCTGGGGGATGGGATATAGATAAGAGCTGGAATTGAACTCAACAGAAGATTTGTTTTCTTTTTTCAGCTACTTCATGGATTTGCAGGAGAGGCATTGAGCAAGTCTAACATAGAAGAAATTTCCCTAGCTTTGAAAGCCCTTGGGAATGTAGGACATCCAGCCAGCATCAAGCACATCAAGAAATTTTTGCCAGGATATGCAGCTGGTGCCTCAGATTTGCCACTCAACGTCCATGCGACTGCCGTTATGGCGCTGAGAAACATAGGCATGAAAGATCCAAAAATGGTAAGGAAACAAAGCTGCCTCCTTTGCACTTATGATAACCCAACACAAGGCTGCTAATTGGTGATGGGTGATGAGGGGATAGCAGACTTTTTTTTCATATATATACATAATATGTTGGGGTTTTTTTCAAATACTTAGCCATTCCTTAGTTGGCATGTCTTATTCCTTTTGGCATTAACCTCTAGTATTTCAGACTGCAACAAAAATCCCATTAAAGGATACATTCATTATCCTGTTGTTGAAGACAAATCAGTACTTCCATTGCAAACATTTATTTTCCAAGGACATTAGACAGAAAGCTAAATTATTGACCAAAACATGCTTAGTGCTACTTCAACTTTGGTATGTGAAAGAACCACAAAAAAAGCTTTTCAGAGAATTGACATTTAATACTGAGTGTCACATCTAATCGTAATTCAAGACCAGATCTTATTGTAAATAGATACTAGAGGTTTGCATCCTAATTACAAATTTACAGACATTGTGTGGGTTTAAGCAATAAACAGAACATTTACCAAATGTGACTTTTGTCCCTGAATGAGATAATGATTAGATATCCCATACAATGGTTACACAGGCATACTGTTATCCACCACAGACATCACTTTACAATCATTTTTGCCTTAAAGCAATCTGCTTCTAAAAGGAAACCTTGCATTTTCAAGATTTTTTTCCTGATATTGAAATTTTTTTGGTTTATATAAGTCTATTCTTAATATAGAAAGTAAAATAAAAGCTTTCACTAACTATTCTCCTACTAATCTGTATCAGTTTTTTCCATTATACTCATTTTTTGCATGTGATTCCCAGTTTGAGTGCACATATTGATCCACAGACAATAGTTTGCCAGGGTATGCTTTTAAGCAAAAGAATAAAGAAACTATTTACTAGAATGCAGGAGCTAGATGGGGAAAAGCAGACAGGAGGAGCGAATAGCAAGGGTAGGAGTTAAGGTATCTGCTGCAGAAGAAAAAAAGCCAATTTGGTGTTTGAAAACAATGCTGTGTCTCTGACTGTCCTTTGGCCTGGCTTTCCACATGTGACCCAGACCGCTGTTTAGTTCCATTTTCTATGCATTTTCTTTAGAGAAAATTGATCTGGAGCAAGTTAATGACCGTGACTGGATTTTTCATTATTCAAAAACCAGTTTAATGCCTGGTTTGCAGCTAGCTGCACACCCGTATATGCATTAAACAGACTTAATACATGGTCTGTCTTTTTTATTGTTTAATTTGAAAAGGTAATTACATTTAGAAAGAGGCTACTGCATCCTTGTCACTACTTTTCCCTTGGTATTTGATAATGAACATATTCAAATTAATAAAACCAATCAGGGTGTCTCCAAAGTTCGTTGAAGTTTTCTGGGTCAGACTTGTCATTAGAGAGCATGGACGTACGCTGTCCCAGGCAGGACAGGACTGTGCAGAGGGGCTGCCAGAACAGTGTTACACCATCCACATCCATTTTGAAGTTGAGGTCAAAGGCTCCAGTACAAAATTAGTCTTGATACTGAATATTGCTGAGGTCAAAAACATTGGTCACAAGTAGTACTGTGGAAATCACATTTGTTGCATAAACTTTGGGTTTTAAGCTGCCTACATGGCATAGAGATTTCTGGTGGTAAACAGGGTTTTATTCATTTCATTTTTATTCTATTATTTAGCAGAAAGGGCCCCAGGAGATCAAATGATTTGAAATAAGGCATACCTTTATGGGTAGGGATAAGTGATCACTGAAAGCACTTCTCAGGTATGTAATGGATCCATGAAATCTCTTTTACCTAGAGTGGTTATGCTACAGACATATTTTGCTATAGCTCAAAAAGGGATAATAGACTTGATGTAGAAGTTATCCAGCAAAGTTCCTTGGCTTTGATTGTGTAGGAAGCCAGACTACATTACCATAATGCCCCTTCCAGCCCGCAGACTATGAAACCAGGAACACCGTTGCCATAATAATTAAATAATACAAATTTTTACTGTACTAGTGATGAAGAGATCATTGACCGGTGACAAATGGTTATTGGCAAAATGCTCAAACATACTGTAAATTTGAATGTATCTATCATTTTCAGGTCCAGGCTATTACCCTTGAGATTTTCCTGAATCACAAAATTCCTCCTCGGGTCCGAATGTTAGCTGCAGTGGTTTTGCTTGAAACCAAACCGGGCCTTCCAATACTGATGACATTAGCTGATGCTGTGCTGAAGGAACCTAGCATGCAAGTAGCAAGTTTCATCTACTCTCACCTGAGGGCCCTGGGTAGAAGCACAGCTCCAGATCTTCAAGTGATGTAAGGCATATCTGGATCCCTTCCCTAGATGAAAAACTTGTTGCAAACTGAGTTGTTAACGTGCTCACCGAATTTTTTCAGGGCTTCTGCCTGCAGAATGGCTGTCAGAGTATTAAGTCCCAAATTTGACAGATCTGGATATCAGTTCAGTAAGGTTTTCCGCTTCAGTATGTTTAAAGGTAAGATTGAGAAGATTTTGTGGAGAAATATATACAGGTCAGTGTGTGAAAAAAAAATCGTACAGTATGAGAACCCAATTCTCCTAGCCAGCTGGTTAGCTGCATGTTGTTCCTCCATATTCTTCTATGTTCAGTGAAAAAAAAAATATAAAAATCTCAGGCTCTGCATTTGGAGAGTGTTTAGGTCCCTGTGTGTTTTGCATTGTACACTGCCAGCATGAAATTACCAGAGGGCTTGTGGGGCTCTAACCCTCCATTTTCATTAGCCAGTGAGGCACATGCTCCTGTATTAAATGCTGTAGTCTCAGCGGTACTTAGCAATTTCATACCATTGTTCAGCACCAAACAAACAGAAGGGACCTAAATTACGGCTGAAGTGGATTAATTTCTACCGGTGCTGAACACCTACAACTCTTGCTGAATTCAAATGTGATGCTAAATACTCTTCACCCCAACAGTAGTGCCCAGTGAAACAGCAAACTCTGAAAACATTCAGATGTGACAATTAATTGCACCCATGAGCAGAGAACTCAGGCTTATTGTCTAAAGATTTTTCTTGCACTTTCCTACCAGGATTCTTTACTAGAATGAGCAAATCCATGTATGGGATCTCGAGGCTGACCAGTTACATCAATGGGAGTTGCACATAAAAATATAGTCAGAATGGGGAGGACCAGATTAGAAGACAGCTCTTGCTGGGCCAAATTGTAGCTATTTCTGTTTTCCATGTATGTTATTTTTCTCAGTAGAGATTTTTTAAGCAACTCCCCTATGTAAATTACCATGACAGCCTCAGTGATTTGGCATATGTGGCTGGCAGACTAGGGAGATTATATCTACAAACACAGTCTCCTTACACATGCTGTTTATCTAGGAGGACTTGGATGTTTTTAATACTTTTGTTATTCACTGGTAGAAGTAAAGATTCTTTTCAAAGTAATCAATAGAAAAAGAGACTGAAACATCTGAAATCCACAAGACTTTTGTAGATCTTATTGTTGCCCTGCCCCTGTTTCATGGTTTTTACATGACCATTTAATTGCTCTACAATAAAAATAAATATAATGCATACCACAACAACCACAGTAATATATGAGACCCATGCTTGCTGCCTCAGAGATGGAGACAGAGAATGCCCAAAGAAATACAGTCACTAATATGCACTGTGTGAACTTTTGTACCATTTAAAATGCATTCAGGGAGATAGATAGAAACTTTCCAGTAATACGCAGATATGTGTTTCTAGTTTTAGGTACTCGTTTTCTTCTCTTATTTTTGCTTTTAAAATGAAGCTATCTGAGTTTTCACATAGTGAGAAAGAAGGGTGCAGTACGCATGAGAGTACCTGGCAGAAGGCTATGTGAAATGGATTAGTTTGTTCTGGCTGTAGCCTGGAAATGCGGCACATAAGTGAACTGCTGTAACATCTTGGTGAAGACCAGTGTCAGAAATTTGTTTACCATGCATATGTAATATTTAAACCTCTCATCCTGAAGAATAAGGAACAAGATCCTTTTCTCACACATGCTAATCTTAGCCTTGGATAACTCAGCTAAATGAAGTCAGTCCTCTATTACACTGTTGTGGGAGGAGGATCCATCCTCCAGCTTTCTGATTTGGTTTGTCACCACTAGCCACAGGTGAAATGTGTTTCAGCGAGTCCATTCTGGAGGAGTTTCCATAGTGACGGCTGTAATGCAGTACCTATTTCCTTGATAAAAACAAAAATGTGCCCTCAGCATCACAGATCTTTGTGGTGCTAGATGCTGAATTTTTAATGACAGGCAATAATGCCAGCTGAATCTATCTCTAATCTGGAATCCGTCACGCATGGCCACCACAAATAGTGCTTCATGCTCTACACGCTGCTACTGAAATCAAAGGGAAGACCCAGGTTCTGCTCAGTGTGAGGACTGACAGAATCTGACTCTCAATAGGCACAGATTCATGTAATTAAATATGTGTACTAATGTTCATAGGTACCAAAGACTGCTTGCTTTGATCACAGATTTTTCTTTCCCTCTTCCTTGGGGCAAGACATTTAGTCAGATATATGCAGGTGCCATCACACTCTCACAGTGAAGTGGCTACAGTGCATCATCATCTGACTATGTCAGTAGGATTTTCCATTGGGAAATATTTTCTTAGAGCATTAGTGCTATGTAATGCCTGAGGTGCGGAAAATATCCCTGCTCCCTTCAAGTCAATGAATTCTGTATAATCATTTAACCATTTAAGAGCAACTCTTCTTATTAAGTATCAGTAAGTACCATGGGGCTTTTTAACTAACAGTTTTTGTGGGTTAGAACACAAAAAAGAGCCTTAACAAATTCACTAAAAGTACCATGCCTCATTCTAGTTTCCAGTCCATGCAATCTCAAGTCAGCTTATTAGTAATGTCCCAGTGTGGCATCGCTTTGCTTTTTATTTTCTATAGGATCAGCATTAAAATGTGAGCTTTTGTCATCTCTCCTTGCTATCTGCTGAAGGTTCTTCACTGATTCCTCTGCCTTCCATTGGCTGGCATAAATACCTGTATTTTGATTGTAGGAGCTTCTACTGAACCGTGTATGTTGTAGGTAGATAGTGCCTAGCACTTTGGGTAGCACAGGAGCTTCATAAAGCAAAACAGTGAAGGTAATGTAGTGAAATGCCAGTTCATACAGACTTAGTAGACTAAGTGGATTGCTTTTCCAACGGACTGTTTCTCAAATACATGAAAAGTTGGAATCTGTCCTGAGAAATTAGAAATCAAAATTAGTCCCAGTAATCTGATACAAAACAACTTAGCGTGAGGAGTAAACGAGGGTAAAGGACCATCCAGCCATGAGGAGCAAACAAGGTAAAGGACCATCCAGATCCCTGTCTGCATGTATGGATTCAGAAGAGAATGGGAAAGTGTTGACTCACAAGTGAGATGTTATATGAAACACAGAGTGTGGCACTAGAGAAGTAATATGGGCATGAGTATTCATAACGCCCCACATTTGTGAACCAAGCAATAATCTTTTCTTTAACTTTTGGCTAAGTAATTTATGAGAATTTAGGCACTCCTTTTCTGGAAAGAGGTCAAAGACTCACTCCCTCTCATAATGTTTGAAAATATGTTTCCTACGATTCATCAATAATTTCTGTACAGGTACTGATATTATTGGTCTCGATCTTCCAGGGCTCTGCAATTATCCTGGCTGTACTGGATTTCCACAGCTGATTTCTGGTGGTGCTGGGATTTAATCAGTATGTGGTGCCTATGTCTAACATGAGGATAGCAGAAATTTAGCACAGGGACTCCTAAAATAGTTTCCAGTCCTCCAGCTACTGTAGGAAGATAAGAGAGAGGAGGGCTGAAAGAAAGGAAGCACAACAGAGATGCCTACCTATCATGTCAGCCTTGTTCCTCTTGAAACCTAGGGAAACTTAGAAAAGCCTTGGGATTACTTTAACTCAGAAAACAGGACTGTATAGACCTGTGCCAAGACTGGAAAGAATATTTGACTGTGCTCTGCACTGATTATCTGTATCTAAGAACATTATAGATGATAAATCTAAAGCAGAGAAAATAAATAGACACAAATTATGTTTGCTTAAAGTTCACTCAATAGTTAACAATTATTTAACAATTACTGCATTTCATGTAAGGAGTTGCAACATTTGGAACTAGATGTATTAAATTGCCTCTGAGTCATTTGAGAGACAAATCTACACCTCGCCATCTGTCATTGTAGGACATCTATATCACTTTCCCTAAACTATTAGCAAAGGATGGCAAATCTGTTTTCATTTCTCATCCCCTTTGTCAAGTTGCCCTAAATGATGTCTCTGAAAAGCATTTCATAAGTTGACATTACAGAATCTGACCGGATGTAAATGATATAGCAGAAGCAATTGGAAAAATAGCATAACCACAATGCAATGAGCAGGGGTCTTGTAATTTTGGCCATTAATAGTTCAAAAATGCAGAATATTCTGTTTATGACTGGTTTATAACATCAGTTTTATAGCTGTTTTTTCTGGCCTTTCTCATATCATGCTGTATCAGTTGAATTATGCAATTAGTAAATTGATACAGTCTGCACAGTGTGGCTTTAAAAACTAACTGTGCTGTGTTTTACTGCCTATTTCTCTTCAGAGCTCCTTATGAGTGGACTGGCAGCTAAATATTTGGTAATGAATAATGCGGGCAGCTTAATTCCAACGGTGGCAATGTCCCAGCTGCGGACACATTTCCTTGGAAGAGTGGCCGATCCCTTGGAGGTAATTGGGTCTACCCACAGTTTGCCCTCTCATCCCTTCTTACAACCATCATCCAATTGACATTTACACTTTACTTCTTCCCACAGGTGGGAATAACAGTTGAAGGACTGCAGGAGATGTTTGCTAAAGGTTACTCTCCTGACAGGGACTGGGAGACTGACTATAACTTCAAGGAAATCCTGAAAAAGGTAAATTCTCAGGGAAAAGAAAATCTCTAAGGTATTGCTTCCCCAAAAGTTATGAAGAATCAGACTTTCTTGCTCTTCTCACACAGCTCTCCGATTGGAAGGCATTCTCCAGTGACAAACCTTTTGCATCGGGCTACTTGAAGATGTTTGGCCAAGAGTTGTTCTTTGGTGGACTTGATAAAAACGCCATCCAAAATGCTTTGCAGGTATTATTTTGAAAACACCACCTCCCAAGCATCAAAATCTTTAAAATACTGTTTCTTTCACACATTCTCTACCTTTTTTTAACTTTTCAATTCAAAAGGGTTTTTTGTCTTTAGTATTAATCAAGGCAAATAAGGTCAAGCTTTGATCAGGATTAGCTATAATCATTGCTGGCAGACTTTTCCCTGAGGCATAGTTAATGACATGGATCATGATATTCAAGTTCTGCTTATTTAGAAAAGTTGAACTCTGTAATTGCAGGCATGGTATGGACCTGATGAAAAAATCCCTTCGATAAGGAGAATAACCAGTAGCCTTCAAAGTGGTGTAGGGAGGCAGTGGACCAAGGCTTTACTGTCCTCTGAGATCCGTCGTATTGTGCCCACCTGCACGGGGTTCCCAACGGAGACGAGCTTCTATTACTCTTCTGTCACAAAAGTGGCAGGAAATGGTAACGTATTTCAAGTCTTGACCAAGACAAACATGCTTGTCGGGATTAGGGGGGGATTTAACACTTTTTTTGCTTTCTCTGTAATAGTTCAAGTACAGATTACACCTTCTCCAAAGTCTGATTTCAGATTAACTGAGTTACTAAATGCCAACATTAGGCTGCAATCCAAAATGAGTCTAAGGTAAATATTTACTATAAAATAAAAAAATAATATTTCCAAGTGAGAGAGGCCATAAAAATTCAACAGCTGTTTACTGTCTGAACATTTTACCCTAATTCTACATTTTCAGCATGGCTAAGGAGATGACCTTTGTAATGGGGATCAACACACACATGATCCAGGCAGGGCTGGAAGCACACACCAAAATGAATGCTCATGTACCTGTCAATGTTGTTGCCACTGTCCTTATGAAGGAAAAAAATATCAAAATTGAAATTCCACCACGTAAAGATGAGACTAACATAATTACTGTAAGGTAAGACATGGCACTTACTATCTTTCTGTGTAGCGATGCAGAGTCTTTCCAAATAGAACATTTGCTTAGGGATCTTTTCTTTGACTGACAGCTTGGGTAACTGGCAATGATTGGTGTAGTTTATTTATTTTAAATGAAGTGATATGTACCAAAGCTTTGCTTGAAAATACGCGTTACTTCCTGTGGTCTTCACCTGAAAATCCTCTTTAGGACCATTTTTCAGTTGTTGAGACCCATAAGCTGTTTGAAACATAAATGGCATAAAATTTCCATCCCATTACATATATTTGGACTGGAGACACTAGGTAAGATATAAGCCAGCTGAATCCTATCAGTTATAACAGATAACCCATATATATTTGCATTTGGTGCCTTGAAGCATAGAGGATTTGGTGTTTCTTGTGTTTTTACCTTGTTTCCCTGTGGCTGCCATTTGGTTTTCTTACCTGTTAGGTCTACTTGATTTATTATCAGTGCATGCAATTACAATACACTCTGGAAAACTGTTGTAGCCAGATGCCAAACAAATGTAAACAGATGGAAATACAAGCACAAGAAGAGGGAGGAAACAGAAAGAGTATTTCCAAGGAATCAAAGCAGTAGACCAAAGCTTAGAAAACCTTCACACACACACGTGAAAAAATACTGAGAAAGACAAGCCGAAAATTCATCACAAAGAAAAAAGCATCACTGACAACAGAAATCAGCTATTATACAATCCACAGAAATGTTAAGTTTCTTCTGTAGGAATACAGCCGTAACAAAAGAGCTCAGTTGCTTGATCCAGCTGCAATTAGCATTCATGGCTGCTGGCCCAGAGAAGCTCTGCAGGTCTCCTCAGTTTAGCCACCAGTTAAGCTAATGATTATTCTTTCTTGCCCTTCAATGCTCACAGACCATCCTAGCAGGCATTTGACATCACATCTTACTCCCTAAGATGATTCCTCCACTCCGTCAAATGTGATTGCAATCAGGTTCTCCGTGCAGAGGAGGGAGGGTTTCAGCAGTTCGTAGAGTGAAAGTTAGCTACGTGTAAGCTGCTGGGGCACCACAGCCCAAAAGTTTTGTTCAGTTTCTTGTGAAGACCAGGACAGTCTGCTCCCAAGGTCATCAGGGACAGCAGGCACCTGCTCTCAGTAGCTCTCACTGTTGGAGACCGTGAGGCGGATATTAATGAACTCAATAAGGATGCTGAACTGAGAATATTGGACACTGATACAGAGTTTAGAGCCTCAAGCAGAGCTACAAATGCTAGCAGAAGGATCCTCCCTGCAGAGCAAAATAAAAAATATTTTCCTCCTTTGACTTAAGGGGAAATCAAATCAGACACAAAAAAGGGTTAAATGCATTGCCAGAAAGCATAAAGCAAGTCTATCAGACGCAAAGGATTACAGCGGAGGAGTCCATGAGTTCCAGCCCAAGCCCTGCTCCAGACCCTGCAGCATTATCATCTATAAAGTGAAGTAGTCACTCGGAAATAGCTCTATAATGCCAAGTATATGAGAAAGCTAATACTCACTAGCTAACTTTTAGCACCATCAATTTTTCTCCAAAAAGCGTTCCTGTTCACTGTTACAAAACAAATGGTCAGTGGAAACCACACAGAGCAATGAAACAGCAATGAGTACAAGTGAAGGCAAAGCAATAACTAGAGAATGTAACATTGAACCACATCACTGAGGAGGTCAGAGACCAAGCAAAGTAAAATCTTAAAGGTATGAAGAGAAACAAGGAGGCATGATAGAGAGAGAAAGGACACATATATATTCTATATAGAATGAGTCAAAAATTTTAGTTTAACATAGACTTCCTCTTCTTTTTGCATAGATGCACCAAAGAATAAAGAACCTATTGAATTCAATATTTCAGAGATATTCCCTTGTTAGCTTTAAATTCCCTATTTAAAGAAATGGTTTTAGAAAGCTATTGCTCTTTCATTTGTTTGTGAGCTCTGTTCAAAATATTTTAGTGTTGGGCACTTTGTCTTGATGGTCAGTGGGTTACCTTCTATAGTACCATGTCATTAAAGGTAGTCAGGACGTGATGCTATTTTCCCCTTCATCTTTCACATCCAGACGCAGGAAGCAAACAGTCTTCAATAGCATTAAGTTCAGTTATATCCTACACACCACACAGGTTATAACCTGTCACAGCTGTGGGATTTATATAAATTTTCAGGAGCCGAAGAGAAACTCAGGTGAGCAATTGCAGACTGAAGAAAAAAAATAATAAAAACTTTGGTGATAGAGAGATTGCATTCCCAAGACAAATCATAACATTACAGACTCAACTTTCTTTACAGCGAAAATCAGAGCAAAATAATTAATCATACCATGGAGAGAATATATAGCATGTGTTTCAATTCAATCCTATCAAAGTTAAATTTAATTAAGAATAATAGTTATTTTTAAGGCTCTTTTAACATAATTATTTAGTATACGACAGATGGCTACTTAAACATACTTTTAAACAAAATTTACAGGAAGAAGTAAAAATCAAATAAATTTCAGGGAAAATTAGAGCCCTGTGATTAAAGTAGAAATATGGAAATCTGCCAGAGAATTCAAATATATCACATATTCATAATGACAGGCTACTGAAGTATATACATAATCTTGAATAGAGCCTGTATCATGGGGCTTTTCTGCTTGTTTTAACTGTAGGATAAGCAGAAATTGCTTCACATGGGCTTCTTATTTATAAGATGAATTACGAAATTACAACACTGTGTACATGTATACAGCATGTGTAGCAGAAAATGCAGAAGAGCCAACGTACGCCGTGAGCTCACAAGGCAGCACAGCGTGTTTGGGGACAGAGAAGGGAAATGGCTGGTGCTCCAAGTCTCTGTTTTTATAACACCTTTGCACCAAGGTCAGAAGGATGATACAAAGGAAAGGCAGAAATTTTCATTTCACCACAGCAGAAAGAGAGCTAAAGATCTGGTTGGAGGATTGTCTCTTGCTTCTCATTTATTTAGATATGATGTCATGCTGTGCTTTAAAACCTGGGAAAATGGTTTTTCGTTGAATTTTTTTGTTTTAAACAGACATTGAGCTCTTCTGTCCCCATGTTAGGGATGTACGTAAGGCCACACTCACTGAAACATCAGTGGGCCCAACACAGCTGAATTGCTTGTCCCTTACCCCTGCAGTGAATTTGGCTTATACTATAGCACAGCTTCTTCTCTCATCCAAAAAATACACTAATACATATTGGAAAATCTCCTTTTTATTTTTTCTCCCTTGTGTGGGATCAGAGAGAACAGATTCTTTCATACCATAGCTTTAGGCCTTCTTTGTGACTGTTTTTCTTGTTAAAGCACCAGAGCTGGCTCTTGTAGCCTATTTTTACTGTGCCGTGTGATTCTGCAGACATTGACATGTGTCACCTGTGATGCAGCTACATTTGTCTGCTCTCTGTGCTCAACAGAGAGGAATCGATTCTCCACTTTCATTAGGTGGCAGGAGTAGACTATTGGCATAAAAAATACTAAAAAAAATTGGAAAAGAAACCCCAGGGCTTTCTGCTTGGAGACCCAGCCTGCAGTTCAGTGGTCATTTGAATTATTGAATGGGATTAAAATAAAAGCCATTTCCCTTTTTGTCCCTTTACCCAGATGAGCCATCTGAAATGCAAGTTGATTTGTATTTTCTTTTATCCCCTCAGCTTGTTAGGGAGAATATTTTATTTCAGATTCCATTCTTCAAGGTTCTCCTATCACCCAGCGTGGAGCGTTGCTGTCATGTCCTTATCTAAAAAAAGAGAGAGATGGAAAAGAAAACAAAGCCCACAGGTGACACACGTTTTATTGAGGTGTTCCACATGAAGAGCAATTGTGTGCTTTACAGCGCACACAGCACAGTAGGAGCCTTCAAGAGGAAGAGAGGGCTATCAAATGAATACAAATTCATCTTTCAAATAGGTTAGATTGGAATTGCTCAGGCTAGTACAGTGTGGACCATATTAAAATACAGACCATTTTGCAGACCATCTTTCCATTCCCGGCCACAAAGGCCACCTCCATTGGCAGACCACAAAAGCCCTACCTAGGGCAAGCAGATCAACCTCATGCTTGAGAAACAGCATGTGGAAATTTTAAGCTGGATGTTAGCACTGATAAACAGCTAATAAGGTAGAGTTAGCGCAATGTTAATAGCTAAGGGAAATAGGTTTTCATCTCTCAAAAGTGTTCAGCATTCAAGATGTTTCTCTGACCCAAAACAAAAGTCATACTTACCACAGCACTGTAAAAACTCCCATGAAGAACATGGGGTATGGAGCCAGGGGGTCAGGATATTTAGCCATGATAGTCTCCATCTCATGTGGCACCTTATGTGACTCATTCTGCATCCTGACTAATGCTCTTAGAGTCTGCAACACTGGAAACAATGTACTGAACACATTTACGTAAATAAGCTTTTAACCTTCCTACACATCTCTCTGTGATGTCTTGCCAAGCCATGGCCAAGCCATGAGTACCAGTGAATTCAGGTCAAGCTGGATTCACTTACTTTGATGATTTCAGGCTCCTTTCTTTAATTCTGCTTTAACACAAGTTGCATAGGAAACACCATTCAGTAGCCACCAGTCCCAGGTTGTTTTCTGAAGTTATGACAGTATTTTCCCAAATATAATGTCAAAGGAAATGAGAACTAAGTTTAGCAGTGAACACGCAGAAGATGAGTTTAAAAATTTAAAACTCGAGAAGATCAAAATAGGAAACTCAAAAATTTAATAATGTAATCCACAGCCAGCCTTCTAAGTAAGCGGGCTGTTCTTCAAGGTGTTAGGCATTCAGAGATCCCATCAACTGCAACGCTTTTAACCTGTACATGTGATTCTAAAAGCCTAACTGAGCTATCTGCCCCTGAGATAGGTCCATGTCTTTATTCACTCTTAGCAGTCCTTGAAAATACAACTAACAGGAAAGATGCTGTAAATATCTGTAAAGCAATTTGCAAGGTATGATACTTGTTGCTGAGTACGTGCTACAAGGCGTTATTCAGTGCTTTATTGATACATGTTTCCTCTAATATTTATTCTGCAGGTCTAAGACATTTGCTGTTACACGAAATATTGGGGATTTGGCTGCCAGTAAGATGACTCCAGTTCTTCTACCTGAAGCAGTGCCTGACATAATGAAGATATCCTTCGATGCAGATTCTGCATCAGGCGAGACTGATAACATCAGGGTAAATTATGTAGTGTCTGACTATTCTTTTGGGTCTTTTAATCAGTGGGACACCATTTCTTTTCTCCATAGGAAAATGTACAATTCATCTCTGACCAATGCTGCTTCACTCAAAATAAGTCAGGTTCAATCTAATAACACGAATAGCCCTATAGTAACATTATTTTAAAATCTGGAGCGTAATACATCAGACCTGCACATTTTTTCAAAAGCAAAAGCATTTTCTTTGGTAATTAATTTTACACTGCCATCTACAGGATAGGTCCACAATCTTTAAAATACTTTGCAACCATTATGCAAGCATCACATTCCTGGGACAGCCACAAATGTTCCACAAGACGCTCCATTGCTCAACTTGTAGAGCCAAATTTAATGCTTATAAGCATCCTCATTCAAGGATGGATGGCAGTTTGTGTGTCAAGTCAAACGACTTCCTGAGCTACAGTTCTCCGTAAAAGCCAGTACAGGCTTTCTCTGAGGGGCAGCATTGTGAAGGCATCATCGTGACAATTCATTCAGTGAAAGACTGACAGAGGTGAGGAATACACTGTCCTGTTCTGGTTTCTTTGTTGTCCTGCAACTCTGAAGGGTTTTCAGATAAAATAAGAGGAAAACAGAGGATGAGTACAGCGCTTTCCTATGGAGAAGTCAATAGGCAAACATACTGGCAGTGAGAGCAGTTTCCAATATCCTGGAACAAGCAAAGTTCTTCTGCTTTGTGCCTCTGTGCCGCCCTTCCTGAAAATTCAGCATTCCACAGCTATTCTTAAATGAACAGCAACTGAAAAATTCCACTCGCTGGAGCATTTCCCAATATCGTTAGAATTTCCTTTGGAAAGAAAATATTAGCATTAAAATTCCAGTTTTTCAGTGGGGCTCATACAAGTTTAGAACCTTGTGAGACATGATAAACTGAGTAAAAAATTAATTGCAAACCTGTATTACATGTGAAATGAAAGCTTATGATTATGTGTCTTTAGCTATTTGCTTCGTTGCTCCAGGAAATCATAGTTTTCATTTCATGGATTTGATTCTAATTTTAATTAATTTTAATTTGTTCTCCTGCAAGCATTGCTTACCACATGTAATTCACATAGTTTTGAGGGGAAATTTCTAACATCTGATATGCTTTGACCATCTAGTTCATACAGTCTCACATTCATGTCAGACCTCAACTGAGACAGAATTTTCATAGGCACAGATGAAGGTTCTGTTGTTTGACCCAATCAAAAATCAAAGGAAAGAACTCCAGTCAGTCTAGAGCACACTCAGATTTATCAAAAACCTAAACTGTCTAATACTCCAGGAAAACAAAATAAAATATTTAGTATTAATTTGTGATATAATTTTCCATTCTTATAGCCTGAAGCTCTTTTTACACTAGATAGTCTCATCAAGTCATTCAGCTGATAATTTTGTCCAACTGAAAACCAAGTTGTCCTATGTCACAGCTTTGTTATCTCAAATAAACTGGTTAATTCCTCCCGCAGCATACATGTAACTATTACCGAATCATAACATGCAAGTAATCCTCTTACTGTTGTCCAGTTTAACTTGACATGTGTATTATCTAATAGGGCAGACAGTCTGCAGAAGATGTTTCATCGGGAAATTCCTTTTCCTTTGGACGCTCTTCTTCACGAAAAGAGCCTTTTGTTCAGTCCAAGTGCTCCAATGCAAGTACATTTGGGGTGCAAGTGTGCATTGAGAGGAAAAGCGTACATGCAGCATTTATCAAAAACATGCCTCTTTATTACCTAGTTGGAGAGCACGCCCTTAGAATAAGCCTCAAGCCGGGTAAATACAACTGTGCACAAAAAAGAAAGTAACAGGTGGGCAGGTGGGTGGGTAGGGGGGTGTGTATATACACATATATATTTGTATATGTACATACATATCTTTTGTATCTTAAGGACCACTAAAACTACCATTAGACCTACCAGCCCTGCCAGTATTGGCAGCAGACTACGCTTGTAGCAGGAATCCCTTTCTCCCCCACTCGTCTGAACAGCAATTTCCTACCTCTCCCAGCAATGCCACTCAGCATGGCCAGCGTCAAGCAGAGCTGATCTGTGCCTGCAGAGTGTGTCTGATGCATCCCTGAATCATTGGATTTGGGATGCAAGCACAGAGCAATTGGACATGGGCAACAGATCTGATGCAGTGTCCTGTAGCTACACTCTAAAAACCCAGCCTCTTAAAGTCAATTATGGATTAACCCTGCCAGGATCTAGTCCTTAATGTCTTAATCCATGATCATAAGAAGTAAAAGCACAGCAAGCCACTGAATCTGGGTCTCCTAGTATCAAACCAATGGCCTAACCATTGGGTCATGCTTTACAAGTCAGAACCTGAGCCTCAATTCCTCTCTAATGCCTAATTCGCTATCCCATAGTGTTATCTAGTTACAAAATCCAATTCACTTGACTTAAATCTGCTGATCATTCTGTTTATTGGCTTGAAAAGAATCTAGTATCATGCTAATATTTTAAAACTTGGTTATTGGCAGTATGTGCTTTAGCTATTAGAGAAAATTTTTAACAAAGTTGCTCAATTCCAAAATTAATCAATAAGCATATTTTCATTTGGGGAAGAATGGCTAAACAAAATGTGGCTGAGCAAAAATTGGCTTATTCTATTATTCAGTTGCTAATACTAACAGTAATACTCATTGTTGGGCAATTTCAGTTTACACCGAGGCACCTATTGAAAAAATACAAGTCACAATTCAAGCAGGAGACCAAGCTCCTACAAAAATGGTACGTTTAGTAACATTTGAAGATCCAGAGGCACAAGTATCTTCCAGAAAAGAAGCAATTAAAAGAGTGAAGAAAATCCTTGATGATACTGATGACCAGGTACTGCTGTAAAAATCCACTTCTAGATTTGTGGGAGACATTATGCAAAACTTAGTTATTTATATTTCTTTTACTAAGTAGCTTCCTTTGTTTAGATAGTATAAAAAATTGGAAAAGACAGGCTTCTAGGTACACAAGTCTTTCTGCAGGTCTTTTGTTTGCATTCACCTCTTCTGCAGGTGAAGGACATTAGAAAGAGCAGGTTGGTTTTGTAGGTTTTTTCTGAAAACCTCTTCTAAGACACAAAATAGCTGTTGTGGGCCCAAAAGGTAGTCTGTTCTTTTCAGCTACTGCAACTGTAGCAAAAAGGTACCTCACCTACTTATACAACTTGCCCTGAGATAGTCCCAGCTACAGCACCGTCACTACCAACCTTAGTTACATGTAATTGTATGATCAACAATTTCTACACGTGTTCATTAACACAAAAGGGTTTGGGGTATTGTTTTACTTATGTGTGGGTTTAACACATTATGAATTTGCCTTATTGTGATGTATTGCAAGAATGCTGTCAGGCGTACATCTTCTCTTCTAAGGCAGCAGAGAGATTCATAGCTCTCTCTATCTGATTTTACTTGTAGCCTTCTGCAGGAACACAAAAAAAATAATTTTGTTTTTCCAATGGTACCATTGACTAGGGGACAAGAAAATCCAGAAGTTCGTCCTCCAGTGCCAGCAGCAGTGGAAGTGCCCAGAGTACAACGAGCAGCCCGTACAGCAGTGACTCTGACAACAGAGCATCACAGGGAGGCACCCAGATAAATCTGAAAACGAGACAGTCCAAAGCCAAAGGAAAGAAATTCTACCCCTTTGGGGACAGTAGTGGTAGCAGCAGCAGCAGTAGTGGGAGCAGCAGCAGCAGTAGTGGGAGCAGCAGCAGTAGCAGCAGCAAAAGCAGTAGCAGTAGTAGTGGTAGTAGTAGCAGCAAAAGCAGCAGTAGTAGCAGCAAAAGCAGTAGTAGCAGTAGCAGCAGTAGCAGCAAAAGCAGTAGTAGCAGTAGCAAAAGCAGTAGCAAAAGCAGTAGCAGTAGTAGCAGCAGCAAGGGCAGCAGCAGCAGTAGCAAAAGCAAGGGCAGCAGTGGTAGTAGCAGTAGTAGCAGCAAAAGCAGGAGTAGTAGCAGCAAAAGCAGGAGTAGCAGCAGCAGCAAGGGCAGCAGCAGCAGCAGAAGCAGTAGTAGCAGCGGCAAAGGCAGCAGCAGCAGCAGCGCAGGTAGCAGCAACAGCAGCAGCAGCAGTAGCAAAGCATCTGGTATAAAGCCTAAGGCTAAGAAGCAGTCCAAGACCACACCATTTCCACAAGCCAGTGCTGCTGAAGGAGAGAGGAGTGTCGGTGAGCAGAAGCATAAAACACAGAGTAGCAGCAGTAGCAGCAGAAGCACCAGCAGTGGCACCAGCAGCAGCAGTGAAAGTACTGGTGCTTCCCATCGCCACAGCAAATATGACAGACAAGCTGAGAAGAAACGTGTCAAGTCCCAATTTAACGGTCACAGTAGTTACAACATTTCTACAGAATGGGTAAGGTTTTCTAATGCTTTACTTCTGCTAGGAGGTGATCCTTACTGAGCTGTAGTTAACAACTTCTTTTGGAATTTTGCAGGAATATCACCTTCCAAAAGTATATCGGCTCCGCTTCAGGCCTGCTCACATCCATTGGGTAGGTCCCTTATTCAAGTGCACATTCCCATGGTGGCTATAGTTGATATGATCAAGCACATTACTGAAGGGCTTTGTTTGGTTCATTTCACTTGAGCGTTCCATACTGTCTGATAACAACATTGACAATGGCCAAAACAAGCAGATTTATTACTAAAATACTATTACACTACATCCTTCTGTTGTTGCAGCACTCGCAATCCTCAAATTTGGGTCAGGACACCTTTGGGCAAGATGCTGTACAATGCAGCCAAGCTAAGTTAACAAAGACGGTGGGGGAAGTATAGAACAGCAGGATCTTATAATGGGAATAGCTGTGTCCACAGTTCTTAGGCAATCATGGCAAAATCATCAGGTATGTGGATTGTATCAGAAACCAGGCTCAGTATCCGTTACGGCACAGAGGTATTTAAAGTACATATCAGAAGTATGATAATGTAGTGGCTTTTGTAGGTGTTACCTGTAAAGTTATTATGTATCCTGCTTGTGAAAGAGGAAGACGATTTACAGTGTTTTTAATTAAATTGTAATCTCTTTTTTTTATTTCTAAAAAATATGGATATATTTGACCACTTACTAAGCATCAGCTTTTATTTTCCCTAATATTAGACCTGGACAATGTGATGTTGCCATTTGCAATCACTGTCTACACGGCCTTCCTGTCAGCAGAGGCGTCCAGGTGGATCCGAGGCACATTCCTACCCAACGTGTTTCATGTCTGCGTATGATAATAAAAATAACACTCTAGATATGTTTAAGTCTGTCTGTTGCCTATAGAGGGAGGCTGATAGCTCTGATATTGATGTCTACACTGTAAAACTAGAGGCCACGTCACAGCTTTTTCACCTATTTTTGTTTCATAGCATCCAGATCGTGAGATATCAAGCAGCTCATCGTCATCTTCCTCTGAGTTGGGAAGCAGCCACAGCAACAGCAGCAGCAGTGGCAGGAGCAGCAGGAGCAGCCGCCCAGGCAGCCCCAGCAGCACCAGCAGCCACCGCCGCCATGGAGAAAATGCTGGCCACAGCTCAAGGAGGAGCCACCCAAGCAGAGGAGTCAGCAGCCACCACAGCTGTGGGTCCAGGCTGACGCGTGAGGTACTACTGATGGCGTGGTACAAACTAGCAGCCGGGCTTTGGTGGCTGTGGAGCAGAAACTGTAGATGTGGTGGCACGCTAACCAGCTGAGGTGGTTAGGCTCAGGAAGTACGCTGCAAGTCGAGTTTGTAAATGGAAAGCTAAAGTCTGCTGAGATATTCCCCCCACCCCCCCGAAAATATTTTTTCCAAATTCTCTTGGCTTCAGGGTTTTGTTTGCTGGTTTCTTGGATATGTTTTCCTCCATTTCTAAAGGTGTTTGCAGTATGTGAAAGCCTGGATTTGGAAATTATAAATATTGAAGGGAATGGGGTTCTAAGTTAAAAGGGACAGAATTTTCTTTTCCCTATGAAAGCCCAAAATGCAAAATAAATTGCATTGAGGTAAAAATGAGGAGGAAATAAATAGGCTTCATTTAAAGATTTTTTTTAACTCAAGTCCACCTAATTACTTTTAGATGTAGACCTGAAGTCATGAGTGCACGCAGAGTATAACTAAAATCAGACTCTCCATGGTTATTACTGGTTGGTAAATGTGAAGTCCCATTAAGCACAGATCATCTTTATCTTTATTGCACACTTAGTATTCTATAATTGTACTGAGCAAAGGTATCTACGTAATAATAGAACAAATAGCCCTGCAAATGCAGGCAATGTCTATGGGAACTCTGCTAGTAAGAAGGATTTCAAAATAATCAGTTGGCATGAAGGAGCTGTAGTAGAGTAAAATACATTGTGAATGTGTATCCTGCTTTGAAAATATCTAGTACATACTGTAGGCAGCTATTTGAAATATTAAAATAATGAACAAAATCTTACTACATGCATAAAGATAGTTTGGAAGAGTCTTGGATCCCTTATCAAAACAATCATGTCTTTGAAAATTCCTGGTAGTAATGAAATAATCAAGATTCCGACCAAATTTATCCTGAAATATTGGGGATATAGAAATACATACCGCAAACTAAACTGATGAAGGACGAGGGCTGCTTCCTGCTATCAGCACACATAAACTGGACTGTAGGGTCTCCAGTGAATAGACAGAAATACTTAAGCACAGATGGTTGGGGGTTGTTTTTCAGCGCAACTTCCTGGGAGACGTAATTCCACCTGGCATTACGATTGTGGCACAGGCAGTAAGGAGTGACAACAGAAATCAAGGTTATCAAGCTACAGCATATGTTCGTTCTGATGCTGCCAAAGTTGATGTGCAACTAGTTGTGGTTCAGCTGGCTGAAACCAATTGGAAAGCATGTGCTGATGCTGTAATACTGCCTCTGAAAGCACAGGTAAGCACACAGGCAGCTTTGCCCAGAAAGACATCTAAAAAGCCCAGAGCACCTGCTGATTAGGAGAACTAAACTGGAAAAACATACGTATTTTGAAATCTTTCACAAAGTTCATGAAATTTCAGAAGATGTTCCCATCTTTTGCCAGTCTTTTGAATTAAAAATAAAATTTTAAAAAAAAATTAAAAAATCCATTCAAAATCTGCCAAAAAAAGATATTGATTTTTAAGATACATCAAAATATGACCAGTAGAAGTATAAAAAATGTTTGAAAAATTGACTGCTTCTTTACTACCTATGTATTATTTGCTCTACCATGGTTTTCTTGTCTGGAAATCTGGCTGTTTTTTTCTGTACAATTAATTTCAAAAGACTCATAACTCAAATGCATTTGAAATGTATTTCTTAGGATTTATATGAAAAGATGGGAAAAGTATAGTTGTGTAATAGAATGATGCCTGAGAGAGCATCATAAATGAAGGAACAGGTCTTTTCTTTTCTTTTTTTTGCATCTCTCTGTGCTGCACTTCCCATGTGCCTTTTAACACAAGAGATCTTTGCAGAACAATTTACAAACCTCTGCTTTTCACAGCTGCAATTAATAAATTCAGCATGATATTTGAGTATTGAAAAAAGCAGGGTGGGGTTCAAATCAAGAGGTATTGGGGAAGGTTAATAGAAATTAAAGTGCAGTCTTCTTCTAGAAAAAAATACATATTGATTATGAAGTTACCAAGTCTAAGGAAATCTCAGGAAATTGTGACAAACCTGATGTTTCAGGGGCTGCTTGGAGGCAGGAACATGTACATGTAGTTCTGCACAGCCTAGCAAAAGTTTTTTCTATTATGCCTCAGATTTTTCCAGACGTAGTAAAAATTTCTCTGTGAGCCTATTTAGAGCAAAAGAAAGACTTGGAAACTTTAAGGATCAATGTGAAGTTTCAGGAAAGAAGAAAAGCTTGCGTTTTGAAATGGTCAAGGGTGGTTCTGTGATTCTTTTCTGAAGTTCGGGTCACTGTTTCCCTGTTCATAAAGGCCAGACTGAGATGGGGCAAGGAGTGCCGGGACTACAGGATAGCAGCCACGGCTACCACAGGCCAACTGGCGAGGAAGCCGGCTGTGCAGCTGAAGGTGCAATGGGGAAATCTTCCATCCTGGATAAAAAAGACAAGCACAGCGTATGTAATTTGTTCTTTCTTAAATTGTTAATTTGCCTTTCTTACACTAGTTGGCTTTATAAAAACACTGAAAATTTTTCAACCCAAACATGTTTGGGGGTATTTTTGGATGGAAAACACAAGTTCAATGGCACAAAAGTATTTTGTGAATCTGTTCTACTTTCTCCACGTTTCATATTAAAAGATATCCCCCAAATATTTAAAAACTTGACAGGCTTAATTTCATTTTCCATATTAAATGATTTGATATTTCAGTTCAAAATGCCTTTTTTTTTCTGAAACGCTCTTCTATTCCGTCTCAAAAAATACCCAGTTAAAATGAGCAAAATAAAACCAATGTGTTTCCTCTGGATAAACCATTTAATTTGATCTAAAGTATTATTTCTTTGACTTTTCAGTTCTTCCTGATTTTTCAGAACTGCCACTAGTCCTCATCCTCCCATGACTGCTTTTGCTCACCTACCTGAGTTGTTTGTCACATCTTGTTTATATCTAGATTCATGCAATACGTTCCTGGTGCAGCACTCGTGTTGGGCTTCTCAGAAGCAGATCAGAGAAATCCATCTCATGAATTCATAGTAAGGGTAGCTGCAACATCTCCACGAACAATTGATACAGTAATTAAAGCTCCTGGGGTACGTGTCAATTTTTATTTTCGTTTTCCTTACCTTGAATGGATTTTCAACTAATAACATTTTGATACTAAATGTAAAGGGAAAAAAAAGCAAAACGTTCCCCTTTAGAGAAGGTGCTATATACCTGACTAAATTACATGGGTCTTGAAATACATACCAGAGTACTCTTGATTTTTTGCTGCTTTGGTGCAATAAGTTGAATATCAGACTGTAGTCAAATACCTTATTTCCATGCTGAGAACAGCAATTAGGCCCAAATTGTCTCAATTATGACTGCTCTGCACTCACACCTTTATTCATTTTACCCAGTGTGACTAGTTCTGCGGCATGTATAGGGGTCTCTGAGCAGATAATGGAGGCCTTGAGAACATCTCGCCCTCCATTGCAACCATGATCGGCATCTATCTGTGTTGGCACTCAAGTCCCACATCTGCAGCAACCATGCTTGATGAGACAGGTCCATCAGGTTATGACAGCCACAAATACAACTCTGCCTTAACCAAACTGCAGTAGTTAGTTACACTCTCAGAGCAGTTTGCACAGGCTGGTTCTGAAGAATCCCACTAATTAATTGGTCCTTGTCCACCAAATCCCTATGCACTGCTCTGAAAAATTTCCCCTATGGATCTCTGGCAAATTAATAACAGCTAGCTATTCATACACAGAGAAATTAGTGTGTCTTTAACCTTCCATGGTGCTTCAGTATTGCAGGGTCTTTAATGTATGATAATGAAGGAGTAGGCACACTAGGCATTAATTTGATTCTCTTGGTAAATGTAATTTGTAGCTACAGCGAGGCATCTTACCCCAATGTTCATCATGCCAGTTTTCAGCTTGTAATGGATGCTGTTCACTTTTCCAGACACATCCATCAACTTACTCAGTTACTTAACTTGTTACCTTATTTTTTAAGAAATTACTTAATTATCACTTAAACTTCATCTATGTCAGTTGCTTTCCAATGTCCTTAACAATTTCTCAAAAAGTCAAGAAAAGTGACTAGAAGAGAAGACAGTGATTGCTCACAAAAGCTTAAGGTTTGGGTGCATCCTGGGGAGACTAACACAAATGCAGTTATATAAATACATCTTCAAGACATTTTTTTCCAAGAGTCTTTTTTTTGTTTGCAGTCATATCTTGAGCAATATGGTTCAATTTATCTTAATGTATTTTCATTTCTGCTTTTTCAGGTAACACTTTACTATCAGGCACTCCGAATACCATTCACCCTGCCCTTAGGCCCATCTCCAACTTACAAGACTCGAGATATCACTGCCTGGAATTTATTTCCTGAAATAGCTTCACAAATAGCACAAGAAGATCAATGTAAATATTACTTATATGCTTGTCTCATGAATAAGCAATGTTTGCAGATCCGTCCTCTGCCATGACTGGGCCTTGCCTTTCCTTGTAGTGGTCTTATGGGGAAGTATAGCATCTCTAACCCCGCTTCCTCAACAGCTCATTCCTTCACTTAGAAGCATGTTTGCTGGCAAGTGAAAGAAGGGACTTCAAACTGATGTAAATATTCAGAGTTCAGGAATCCCTCCTATCTGCAAGGACTAGAGGTTGTCTTTTGCCCCGTCTAAGAAGGTGCCGTCTCTGCATTGAGAGGTATCAGATGGTGGGTACAAGACAGATCATGTATTTTCTGGTCTCTTTATTTTCTTCAAAAAAGAGTCATGTGAGTCTTAGCTGGTTGGTGCCTAGCACTTCTGTGGGCAATGTGAACTACTTTTTATAATGGTTAGTTACTATTTTTAGTTTCTCAAGAATTTGGTACATTTTAGTCCTTGTTAGCTTGAGTTTTGTGTTTAGCATGTAATTAAAATCAATATTAGTATAGTCTGTATCTGGTAGTTATTCTGTAGTTCTATCCTGTCCTTACAGACTCTGGCAGCATTGAAAGCTTCTGCCAAGGAGATGATGAAGTTTCTTTCCTGTTTGCTGGGTAGTTCGATCCCATAGAGGTGGCTTTCAATACTTTGCAGCAACACGTGTGCTGTTGCCACATCTGCCGTTTCTTTTCTGGTTTTGTTTTGCAGCCACATGTGAAGTCAGAGAGGGAGATTTCAAAACATTTGATCACTTGAGCCGTACATATTCTTTCAATAAAAACTGCAACCTGATAGTGGTCCAAGACTGTACTGAACACCCAAAATTCATCATTACTACAAGAAAGGTTGATCCTCAGTCTTCCTCAAGAGAGGTTCACATAAATACAACCTCAGCGTAAGTGTGGTTTATCCTGAGGTTTCAGGAATTAGGTATAAAGTTTCAGGGAATTAGTTGGGGGATGGGAGACGTCTAGCTCTAGGTGAAACTGGTTTGCAATCAGATATTTGGGGAAACACAGGATTTCCACAAGGAATCCTCATCCGAGACTCTTTGGCTTAGTTGCTCTTGTCTTCAAGGCACCATTGTCTGATAAGATGCTCATTAAGTCCCCACTCGGTCTTTTCTTTAAATGGTGAATCTCAAAACCTAAAGTCTCAATGAATTTTGGACTTTGGAGAGAAAACAGAACATTCATTCATTCATTCAAAATTCAGATCTTCAAATTGGTTCTTTCCTAGCTTTGGTCACAAATATCTCTACTTTTCACATTTTAAATTATCCACTAGTTTCTTCTTTTTCTTTCTTTCTTTTTCTGAAGGAACATCACAATCTGTCCTGCCGCAAATTCATCTCTCCTTGTAGCATGCAATGAAGAACCAGTTCTATCACACAGTGGAGTTTCTGAGTATGAAAAAGGTAAGCTGTGATACCCAATTTTCCAGGACTGACCTGGAAAGTAAATACCTTCAAGATGTTTTTATAAATTCTACAGAAAAATCTCTATGTAAAGAAAACACAAGCGGGATTAATTCAAAGAAAAACTAGAGACTTTACTTTCTTAAGATTTATATTGACTTATGTTCTTCTGTCCTATAGTATATACATTCTTACTTTCCTCCAGCATAACTGACAGGTAAATAAAGCCCTTTCTTATATATATGGTATATACAGGTTGGTGATTGTTTAGAAAAATTTCTTGTTATAGTCACAGTTAGATGCTTTGGTTCAGATATTTAGCTGGAGCACCACGAATGTCCTTATCATTTTGAGACTTAGCAGACTGAATACGAAAGTCAATTCCAAAATAGGAAACAGCAGTAGGGTATTTTTACAAATGAAGAGATCATTTCTTCTATTTTTGCTTTCTCTCTCCACCAAAAAAAAAGAAATATTCCAACTATAGCAGTAAAATAACCATTGTGAAGGAAAATGCATTATGATGTATTTTGTGCTACTCAGTTTCTCCATTAATTTGAAATTAAGCAGATCACCTTATGATTCACTATCTTTTTACAGACAATGTTAAAATTTATAAAAATGGAAAAACAGTTAGTGTGGAAGTTCCAACACACGGACTGAAGAATGTGACTTTTGATGGTGTGATCCTTAAGGTATTGGGCTTACTTTCAAGGTTACTACTTTCTTTCTCTTTAGTACCTTGGCAGTGTAACAGACCAACACTTCAGTATTCACTACAAAGATGTGCTATTTTATAGGTTACCGTAGCTTCGTGGATGAGAGGAAAGACCTGTGGAGTTTGTGGAAATAATGACAGAGAAAAGCACAATGAACTCCTAATGCCAAATCATAAGCTGGCACACAGCTGTTCTGCTTTTGTTCATTCATGGATATTGCTAGAAGAAACCTGCTCTGGTGGTGAGTAGCTCTGAAAACACTTTATGCTTGGGGAGAATATGATTTCACTTTTCCTCTGCCAATAGCGAGAAAATATTTTTTTTAAAAGCATCAGATATCTTTTACTTAGAAAAGACAATAGCGATATATATCCATTTTAACTTCATTAACCACTGACTGTTTAAAACACTGCCTGTGCATATAGGGAATATATACCACAGCAGAAGTCTTTGTCTCATGTGCAGTTCAATGTTAAATAATTGATTCTACTATAATTTCTTACACTGAGGAGCTTTTTTTTCTTGGAGAGACAAAATTAGGCCTAATCTTGCTCCCACTGAAAAAAGTGTGATTTTCACCACTGAATCAAAGCCATTTCAGCTGTTGTCTGCAGCCTTAATTTACTCAAACAAGTTGCAGACTATGAATGCAGTGTCAGATCTTAAGTTTATGTAAATTTTCAGAGTGCACAACAAAGTTTCATTTTTGTTCTGCACCATCTGAGGGTGCAATCTCAGGGAAATATTTAGAAATACTGCTAAAGTAATAGAGCTTCCTCTCACATGTAGCTGGAAAAATAATGATGGCCTCCCATAACATCAATACAGTTTTGTTTTGTAGGTCTCCATTTACCTTGGATCTGAGATAACTTTATTGAAGTTAATGGTTGTTTTCTCCTTGACTTCAGTGGCAGCAGAATTGTACTTATCTGTGTGTCAGGAAACAGAGTCATAGCTGGGATCCTGTTAAGTTACATTATACCTTTCTAGTGAGATAATTGCCGCATTATAAAAATCATCCAATACAAAAATTATCCTTGATGTTATTATATAAATGCTGCCTTTTTTTTTTATCCATTCACTACAGTTGACATTTTTCCTAATGCAATGAAGTAGCCATTGTGCTTCCAGTATCTATTCTTAATAGCTTTCAGACATGAGAGGTTATTTTCTGTGTATTATGTAGTTCTAAAAAAACTGGGTATACACGATTCCATTTGGGTTATATTGTGCAATTAGATTTTTAAAATAGCTCCCCTTTCAGACTCTTTCCTCTAACCCCCAACTTATTATCATCCTATCTCGATAACCTCACTACTGTGAAAATGGTTTGTCAGGCACCTGTGTTTTAATAAAAGCTGAAGAGAAAATACGGACCTTTATTATTGCAAGGATCGATTGGGATTTATTTCTACAATTTTAACTACCTTTCCTTTTCCTCTTAGGGTGCAAGCTGCAGCGCAGTTATGTGAAGCTGAATCGAAAGCCTACTATTGACGGAGAGGAATCTACGTGCTACTCTGTTGACCCAGTACTGAAATGTATGAAAGACTGTACTCCAATCGAAAAAACTTCAGTTAAGGTTGGCTTCCACTGTTTCCCAAGAGGTACGATATTTTTCTCTCTCTGTGTCACGTACTGTAGGAGCTCTGTCAGAGCACTCAAAAGAACAAAACACAGCACAGCCACGCACAGACCTGTATTGCTCTGGCTCCTCTCTGAGCTGCTGTTTTTAATCCCATTAGTATTTGCTATAACCACTGACAGTACTGGCCAGCTAAAAGCTAGTTTAGATGATGGCAGGTAGCATCATCTGAGAAAAACATTTGAGGTGGTAAAAGGGGCAGCAGTGATCAATAAAATTTTTTTCACATTTTCAGGATCTCCATAAAGTTGAGATAAACAACAGTGAGTCCTTTTATGCACATTACAGCCTGCAATTTTGTGAAGACCAGGGCAAGCCGGGCAGTTGAAAGTCAGTCAAGTAGTGTGACATGACTGCTGTGATTAGACTGCCATGCTATGCCACTGTGCAATACATCAGCAAAAAACCACATTGCTGAAATGTTCTCTAGATTGTTCCAAAAAAAGGTTTGTTTTTGAAGGTATTTTATACACACACAATCATGCCCCAGATTTTTAAAAATACTGGGCCTTTTTCTCCTTTCACTTATACCAATTTGTCATGGATGTGATGCATTGTCTAACACAGGTTCACACTGAAGTTATATAAGCATGAGAGGAGAATCCAGCCTGGAACATAGAGATATTTCTGGTGCATTCCTTCCTAAATCTTTTAATGAGTTACACGGTACATATATACCTTAGAGGGAAACCTACCATTAGGGAGTATCTACTGAAGTGGTCTGTTCTCCGTGTTAACCATTGTTGGCCAAAACCATTGTTAGCTGGGATAATCCAGTGTAGTTTCGCTGAAGCCAATGGACCCGTGTTGAATAATGCTGGAGAGGAACAGAGTATTTTATGTCTGATTTTAAACAACATCCTATGTAGAACTTTGCACTTTGCTCATGTTATTAATATCTGCAACAAGTATCTGTCTATAATAGTCAACCATCTACAACAGCCTATTCAACAAGTAGCACAGAGAGAGTGCTAATAGTTTTCTGATGGCTCCCTGAGATGTGAATAGATGCATCCTTTTATGAAAAGAAAAACCCACCCTCAACAAAAAAACCTTCCAAAATCTTGTCATATCCATGTTTCACAGATTTCTTTTGTGTGTCCAAGTCTGTATCTCTGAAATGTCACCACCCCAGGCCACTCACAGCCTCAGAATATTAGGCTATAATAAAGCTGTCTCATTCTCTCACAAAAATGTGTGAGAAAAGAGGAAAATCAGAAAAAAAGATATGTTAGTTGTCACAGCCAGTGCTGCTTTTACAGCAACTGCTGGCTTCTCTGGTTCATTTACTGAACCAGAGACTGGGAAGACTGCTAGCAGCACTCCTAATCAAGGGCTTTTTTATTTATTTTTCCTGAGGAGAAGGAGGAGGAGGGGAAAAAGGATGAGGAGGAGGAGGAGGAGGAGGAAGGGAAAAGATGCCATTTATGTTTTTTTAGCAAGACAATTGCTTTTCCTCAGGCTAAGGATCAATAGGAATACAAGGCCAGCCCTTAAAAACTGTTCTTTTTCTTTCTCTGTTCGATGACTTGGAGAAGAAGCAGAAACAAAATTCTCATCTTTCTCAAGCTGAGAACATGTATTTGCATACACTGAACAAAGACCCTTTCTCAGCTCTTTGTATGAGAAGTCAGATCTGACAGTCTGCTGTTTCAGAAGAGAGGGACCCCATCACTGTCACCAGTGGAGCAAGGATATAATGAAGTACAAGGATGCACAATTTTCCCTGTTGTCCTCAAATCAGTGAGACTGTAGTCTTAGGATCTTGACTGAGGCAGATGTCACTCCAAGTTTAAGTGCACATAGTGGTTCACATTTCAAACAGGCCACAAGCCCTACCCATAGGGGTTGTGGTTACTCAGCCATGATCCAGTTTGCCGAGGGATACACTTCCTACACGGATATGAATGTGATCAGACCCACAGTGTGTCCAAGAGTAAGAGACATAACAAGCATTAATGTACATAAAAAACAGAACTCAGACATTTTATAGCATTTCTCATTTCACAGCTTGAACATATTAAATATTTTGAAAAAGCATCTCCAGCACCTTTCTGGGAAATATTTATTATCCTGTTTGTTATGCAAAACCTGTGCTTTGGGTTGGACAGTAATTTAGCCAAAGAGAATGTTAGCATTTCAGGTGATAAGTGACCGATACAACCTGAACGCATACAGTGCTCTCCAGATTTCCCCGTGATGAGAGGTGGCATGTTATAAATGTATTGTCCAACTGAAGGATAAAACAAATGGAGGTAAAATTATGAAAGCTTTACCCATTCTCATTACACAAACTTAATCTGAATGGATGTCCTAATATTCTTCCAGATGCAATGATAAACCTCCAACTACCTAAGAATATTTATTGGGAGGATGAATATCATTATTCCTTTTAGATTATTTCAGCATTAAGGGATATGGCTTATTCAAGCTGCTGTTGATAAAGCAGTGTGGTAAGGTTAATACTGCAACTGACAATGCTCTGCCAGATTTCACAATATATGGGAAACTTTAATTAGAAGTTTATGAACCTCTGAAAATTCTCCAAAGGGCTTATCCTTCAGAATGAACTTCGACAAATAGTCAGCTGAAATACACAGTGATATGCAGCACTAACATAAAAAGAGATTGCTGATGTGTATTGGTATGTGGTGGTCTTACATAGACAGTGGCTACCTCCAGCACTTTTACAGCTGCCTGCCTGTTGTCTTTGTGCTTCATGAAATGTTATTCATTTTGGTTTTAGGGAAGTATTATAGTAATTATATCATGGATGAAAATCCTGCTCCAAGTCAATGAGTCAGTAAGATGTCAGTTGTGGGGGCAGGATTTCATTCTTTACTTGATGAGGGAGTTGGCAGCCATCAAAACAGTGTTTCCTTGAAATGTGTTAATTTGCTTGATGGTAGTTAACAATGGCTTTGCTCTTCTGACAGATACTGCTGTAAGCCTGCTGGAATGGCAGAGAAGCAGCGACAAGAAATCTGCGTCTGAGGATGTTGTGGAGTCTGTGGATGCTGACATTGATTGTACCTGCACTGGCGACTGTAGTTAAGCTAAATGCTTTAGTGTTGTGCTATAGACATACTATACAAATAATTGAATAGCTGGAAAGATAAGAAGGGAATGTAATAGCTGTAGTAAAATATTTAAAAATGTGCTTGAAGAAAATAAGCCTACTGCACTGCATCCAAAGTCAAAAGCATTAAGTACAGTCTGCACTGCTTAATAAATATGTTGTTCATTAAATAAGTATTCATGTGGTCTCTCTATTTTTCCCTATCAACAAAACAATCAGACCAACTATAATATTATCCAGAAATTCTGCTTCCTTTTATCTGAAATATAATTACAGCTGTCCTCTCTTAAAATTATGTTCAGTAGGTGATGAAAGGAAAACATCATTACAGCTACTGCTAACATTCCATTGTGCAAAGAATTTCGTATTTAGCATACTAAAGACACAGTAAGCATTTGTTTTCTTTTATGTTTTCTGGTAAAGAGCAAAGTCTGTTCTTGGAACCATTCTGCAAAAAAATACATTTTACTCCCAGCAAGACCATTAGCCTTAGTACATTCTACAAAGGAATGAATTGGACTGCTAAACTCCCACTGTAGCTTTCTAGAGAGCTATAGTGTGTGGCACAGTCCCCATTTTCATTTAAATTTCAATGGATGTGCTGTTGCTTCAAGAGCTAAAGGTATGAATAGGAACTTTTTTTTGGTTTACCATCTCTTATTGTATATCTATGAAAATGATGCCTTCAAAAACTTCAGGGAACAATAATACATCAGGTAGCATTCCAAATACTCCAAAAAAAGTAGTATATAGAAAAATATGGAAGATCAATAGCATCATAAAGCTAAAATAAAGTACAAGCAGGACAGTTAGACTGTGTTTAACCAGTGAAGTGTCAATCTGCTAGCTTTCACTGGGCCTATGCAGAAAGGCAATTCCCTCCTAGCCCAGGAGACCAGGAATAGGTGGCACCTTCAAACCCCAAGCAACAGTACAGTATCTCTTCACCTCATACATGAATCAGCCATGCAGTGAGCCGTGATACATTTTCCATAACAGGCTATAGCAGCCAGCATGCCCTTCCAGAGAACCCTTAAGCATGGGCAAGGTACTGCTGAACCCAAATGCTGCCAGGAAACTGTCTTTAAAGAAAATACTTTTCTTTCTAACTAAAAACTGAGCTATCAGAGAGACGATTGAAGACTAAATAGCTGAACAATTACAGAATAACATTTCTCAGTAATTTTCTTTCAAGAGCAGAAACATGAGTAACATATAGTACTCCTTTCACTCTCTCTCAAGTTGCAGCTTGCTACCAACTTGAAGTTAGAAAAGATCGGGTTCTTTCTCAGTGTACTGCACTTCATTACTTCCAGAAGAAAGTAAGTCATTATGAGTTTGTTCAAACCAGGGCTCAGTAGGCTGAGCCTGGTGCATACCCTGTGGCAAACATGTTTGCCTCTGCCCCTAAGCCTCTCTCCCGGGAATAACGTACAGAGGGCAAAAAGGGGTTACCTGCCTCCTTCCCTTCACCCAGCCTTAATGTAGTCCGTATGCTGTATTTGAGAACCTTCATGTGTAGCGGGTCTATATGCAGATAGCCAGAGCTCTATTCAACAGCTGTTTTTCATGCAAGTATGTTCAAACTAAGACCAGTAACATGAGTTCTTGCACTGTGTTTTTATTCGCAATAAAGCATTCACAAATTCCCTGCACAAAAGCTGTGTTTTGCTAACTCGTCAGAAGTACTATACTGCAAAAAGGATAGCCCCAAACAAGAAGGGAGATGAAGACTATTGCATTCCATTTTCCTTTAAAAATCACACTAATATTACACCTGGAGAGCCCTTTTTTTCCTGGTATTGTTCTCACGGTGGCTTATGCGATATTTGCCATTGACTTTCGTAGGATCAGACTGTCATCTTTAATCCAACACCTTTATCTTTAATCCACTTGTTTACAAAAGAGAAACTTTCACCAGTCAACCACTTCAGATAAGACAAAGGTAGTAGTGAGAGAAGAAAAAAGGAACTTTCATGCTCAACTACTAGAACAGGAATTTAGTAATAGCAAAGAGCCATTAGTAAGAGAAGTAATTCTGCTCGCAGTAAAACACAGTCATCTACACAGAAGCATGACACTAATTAACAATGATCAAGCTGGGATGTACAGTACAAAAAATACAAGCAGCTCATAAAGGCAAATGCCTTCTCCCAGAAACAATTTACAGATTGTTAAAGTCATTGGAAAAAACTTGAAGGCAGAGATTGATCAGCAGTCCTAAATTAGTTTATTCTACAATGGCGATATATAATAATAATAATAATGGGTACTGTACAGTGTTAAAAAACGATAAGCGTGCCAGGTCAGGCCTGAGCCTGCTGAAGCCCCGCTTTGGATCCTGCACCAACAAGAAGGCACCTCCAGCGCCCCAAGTAAGGGGAGCCACCAGAACAGCTCCACGTCTCTTGCTGCTAAATTGTCATGCCTGGAAAAAGGTATCCTGCCCACGCTAAAACCACACACATATGCTTTTCCCTCAGCAGAAGCTCCTCTGTTAGCACTTTCCACTGGCTGTGGTGTTCGCAGGCAATAACGCTCCCAACAGCAAGGAGCTGCATGCGATGGCTTGAGCCCAAAAGTCCTAAAGAAACTCCTAGCTCACGCACTATCCCAGACACAAGGAAAGAAAGGCGAAAATGCCCCACAGTGCCAGAGCACTCACCATCACCCTACCAGTAACACAGCCCGGGCTGGGGCGCAGGCTCAGCCAGAGGGGAAAGCAGCCGCCAGCAAAACCCAGGCCCAGTCCTGCCACTGCTCTGCTCAGGGCAGGGTGAGACACCGCTCTTCGAATTTCCATTTCCAAGGGGCAGCGTTCCTTGCTGTCCCATTCCTGTTTGTTAGTGGCCTCTTGCTGAGGCAGCTGAATGCCTTTGACTGACCGAAAGACTCCACTGATGTTGCAGCTGTAGAATCTAAATATAATGAAAGTTAGTAAAGCCTGAGGTTGGCAGTGGGCACGGCAAAGCAAAACACTTAGAACCAGCTCATTTTGCCAAAGAAATTAAGAGCATTAGCAGTACAAGTGTAAAAAAAGCTCTTCTGGAGTTTCTAATGCACCACACAGGCATTTCCAACCCATCTGGGAGGGTATCTGCAGTCCAGATTTAAACCTCATTTGGAAACCATCCTGTCCTATCTTATAAAACAAACCAAAGTTATATAGCCTACCGAGTATTAAAATGTGTACTTCACAGTCTGAGCTTTTATGCACTCTACTTTTCATTCCTAGTGCTTCTCAGTTATATGAATTAATGAACTCTGGGCTTTACTGTAGTAATCAAGGAATATGACCTTGCAATTATAGTACTCCAGTATTGTTTAAAAAAATGAGTGTCAGAAAAAAGATGCAGGCCTAAGCATAGGCCAGGCTTGAGTCCTAATCTTGCCTTTGCAGCTCTGTAATGCAGTTTTGCATGAGGCTGGGGATTTCTGTGCTTCATTTTCTGCATCAGAAGGATACGACTACTTACCTACTTGATGGAGTCAGAAATGCTTATGAATTTATAGTCCCGTATGTCTTTTGCAAGTTCTTCAGTGATTCTAGAGATGAAAAGTAAATTTTTCCACTAGATCTCCTAACCACATGAGTATATTTTATTGCTAAGTTGAAGGTTTTCATTTTCAGATTCATCCAACTGTAAAATAACTATACATTTGGAAAAAATCAAAACAATGTACTTAATTTGTTCACGGTCAGCTTTGGTTAAACCTTAGTGGATTATTCATAAAAGCCTAGAATTGGATCCTGCTATTACAGTGGGATAGGCACAAGGCTGTTGGAGACACAGTCTTTTGTATCCTAGGCAAAGACAACAAACCTTTTGTCCATCAGACCTGGCTCTTTTGATTCACTAATTTTAAATGACACAGTGACTCTCAGGAAAGCATGGTCATTCTGCTCCAAAGAAAGGAGCTGCAGTGTGATAGGAAAGGACAAAACCGTTAATATCAGACCCCTCCTGGAAATGAAATGCCTGCTCCGCAGCATGAGCATTAACAAAAAATAACGTGTACAATTCTAACCCCACTGAAGTCAATGGTTAAACTCAACAGAGATAGGCTTTTACTCAGTATGTTTGAATAAGTTATTAAACGAACTTTAGTTGTCCCTAAAAATAAATGTACTGTGTGGATCTAAGTGCAGCTGATGAATGAGAAACCTCGGGAATCTAACAAATACAGTAGTTAGGGCTAAAACCAGAGACAGCACAGGAGGTTGCAGAAGAGAGTAGCTATTAGTAGCCATCTGAGCTTTATGCTGAATCTCAAGGTCTCTCATGCCATCTACTGGCTTTTTTGTTTACTAACAACGGTTTAAATCTTTTTCCTCCAGGTTTATTTATAGGTCTGATACATTCCAGGCAGTTTTATATAAATCCTAATCAAGGTTTGGGGTGGGTTTTTTTCCCTCTAACCTCCACACTTGATTACTATGTGTTTTTTTCCTGTAAGTACATTACAATTCTGTACCTTTCTGAACACCATTTCACATTGTCTCTGGAGGAAAAAGACATTGCCTAAGACATTCTCATTTCTGTTATTGCTGGATAGGCAGTAATTACATTGCAAGCAGGGCTGGAAGAACAGTTTACTAAGAAAATCCAAAGCTGTTTGAAAATAGCACTTACGGTTCTTCCTCAATCAGTTTGAGAAGGTTGTTATTTTGGTACCTGAAAATGCTTTAATGTACAAAAAAAAATCTGGTTTTTTCCCTCTTTTTTCCCTTGCAGTTCACTTAGCTGTAATTCACAGTGAACACTTACATGTCCTAATATTATTAAGTTTACTTTCAGATGGGTTTTGGGAAGCAGGAATTACATAGAGATAGCTCTGATGACAGCACTTCCCTTCATTATCTGTAGCCTGTTTCTCCCTGATGTCCCAGTTTCCCCTCCCTATTTATCTGTGTCCACTGGCCTCTTCAGCTTCTCTCAGCAGGACAAACGCAGACACCTCAGCGCACCTTCACCCAGCTCCCGGGGGAAGCAGGCAGCCCTGCAGCTGTGCACCGTGCCCCATCTAGAAGCTATTCGGGCAGCTTCAAAATTCACTTTGCACCCCACGTTAGAACATCAGCCTGCTGAAGCTTTTGGAGCTTCACAAACTTGCTGTCTCTCTTCTCACTGTGCTTTTCTTCTGCCGTATCTTTCATTCATCTACGATTATAAAC